CAGAGAGGCCCGTAAAGGTTTTGCCGCATCGTCGTTGCGCGGCCATCCTGGCGTTGCGAGTATGTATTCGTACTCCGAGTACCGCAGCGTGATGTAAGCGCCCGCCCATCGAGCGCTTGATGATCGGTCCGCTCCTCGGAGTTGGTCGGTCTCGTACCTCGCAACGCCAGGATGGCCGCGCAACGACGATGCGGCAAAACCTTTACGGGCCTCTCTGCTGAAAATCCCAGAATGTTCTCGTTCTTCGAGGTGGCGGGATTTAACTTGGGTCGGATGTGGATAGTGTTCCCCCCGCTCGGACTTGGATTCCTTCTAGCTTCTTTCGAATCGCCTCCTGCTATATCCCCGGGCCATGAGCGACCCCTCTGGACCTGGAGATATCAGCGCTCAGCGGCGACGTCTGACAGCGTCCTTGGAAAATCTTCAAAACCTCATCACGCTCATCCCGGAGACTGCACCCTTGGCAGCGGCTGATGGCCCCCTGGTGCGGAATTTCGGCGACCTCGATGTCGACTCTGAGGAGGGCCCTTACTACGCTCTAGACAGAGCGTGGGTGCGCACCTTTCAGGTCTCCGCCGAGGAGCAAGAGAGCTTGATCTGCCGTGGACAACATGGCATTACATTTCTCTACAATTGTCTAGTCTGGCTCGCTACGCTCCCTACTATGGTGGCTAACAACGGTCTCTTTCTGCTGGCAGAGAGGGTGGATGCGCTAAACCGTCTTGTGGCCCGAGTGTATGTGTTCCCTTAAAGCTCGTCTCGCCCGCTGACCGCTTGTTTTCTTCTCAGGATTTATCATGTGTACCGTGCAAATGATAAAGGCAACCCAACTTCGCTTGCATCATCCGACGCAAGCTTCACGCCGAAAGCCTCGGCCGTGAATGGCTCTGGTGCTGCAGCAGTGCTTGGGAAGCGCAAGGAGGGTAAGTTTGTTATACAGCATAATGTTTTGTACAAGTATTGCTCATACTACAACCACAATATAGCTCCGTCCGAGGACACTACCACGCCGCAGGCGCAGGCACGGAGTTCCAAGACAGCCAACGAACAGCCACACAAACCAAGCGCTGCGAAGGGCAAGGTAGGTGTTCCTTATGATATGTACCAAACATACGTGTTCTGATCAGATCATTGACCGATGCTATAGCACAAACAAGGGGCCGCGACGGAGAAGAACAAAGGCCAGAAGAAACCCAAACGTGCTCGCAGGGTTTGTATGCCATTGCCGTACGGGTTGTGTGTGATGTTAACACTTCATTCTTTCTAGGCGGCACCGAAGAGCGATGACGACGACGACGGCAGCGGCTCAAGTGCGCACCACAGCAACTCAGCCGACGACGAGCCGCTCAGGCGTGGCCGCCCTGCGCACAAGCAAACCTGGGTGATTGCGCACTTTGTACCACTGCGGTATTCGGCAAACGGGAAGAGTCTGTGGAAATGGAAATGCAATTTCTGCAAGTGAGTCTTTTCCTTATGATGCGCTCACAAAACACCATTCATCACGATATGTGGCAGCACGTACCGCACATCGCCGAGGACGCCAGGCTGCAAGGACTTCGATAAAGAAGCTCCGGAGCTGCGCCGCCCGCAGTACGCCAGCAATTTCATCCGGCACCTCTCGAAGGAGTGCAAGAAGATTCCGGACAACTCAAAGTTCGAAGCATGGCAAGCACGTCACCTCGAGGGCACTAGACAGGGTGTATCGAATGGCGAGACGCAGGCGAACGCAGCACCCGAGGAGCTCGGTGGGGTCATCAATGGTGAGTCGCTTCAGCGCGGCTTGATGAGCGGGTTCGTGGCTCGTGGACGTGAGAATCCGGAGAAGCAGGTCACTCGCAAAGGGTTTCGTGAATTCTTCGTGAAAGGTATCGTCGAAGACGATCTACCATACACGTTCGGTGAAGGGAATGGGATGACTCGGTGCTTCACATACATCCTGCCCAAAGGCTACAAAGTCCCCAACCGCACCATGGTCTGGCGCGATCTCATCCTCCTTCACGACAAGATCAACGAGAAGCTGAACAGGATTTTGAAGGTATGCGACTACTCAGATTCTTGGTGGTCACCTCCTGACATGATACACGGTCACTATAGGGCCTCACATCCAAGGTTTCTATCGCAAGTGATGCATGGTCCAGTAAGAACTGCGTCTTTGCATTCAGCGGTCTCGGAGCATTCTGGATTACCAAAAATTGGGTGCTCGTCTCTTGTCCCCTGAACCTGCTTCCTCTCGGCGGCGACCATACGGGGTCCGCAGCGGCAAGGCTTCTGCACCGTGCGCTCAAAAAGCGCGGCCTCATCAAGAAGCTCAGTAGGTGGCCTTATCGCAACATTGTCAATCTATTTCTGACTAGTCTGGTCACGGATTTAGTGGGAAGTACGGCAGACAATGCCTCGTCAAATGGGAAGATGAACCGCGTCCTCGCTCGCCGCATCGCACGAGACCATCAAATCTATCTTGATCCTGATGACATTCAGGTTGGCTGCGCCGGACATGTCGTGAATCTGGGTGCACAGTACGTCACACCCTCCGCATCCCGGTACATCGATCTCATCGCTCACGGCATTGCAGGGACTTCCTCCACGCTCTCGGGCTTGCGCCAAATCCCGACATAGAAGACTACTATGTTGAAGCCCGCAACTTCCCGCTCGCATTCCAGCCTGAGCAAGATCCGGACCACGTTGCCCATGCTGCCAAGGCCTTGGAAGAGGCACAAGACGAGGCATCAGCGGCGGCAGGGAGCGGCACGAGCGTGAACATGAAGCCAGCGGCTGATGAGGACGATAGTGAAGACAGCGCGACCGAGTCGGAGAGTGACACAGAGGACAACGCAGAAGACACAGGGGAAGAGTCTCGAGGTGTTTCACGCACAAAGCCGGCGAAGGCGCAGAAGCGTGCTTTCACACCAGTGGATAAGGTTTGAAGTTCCCATGATCTCCGACTACTTCGTATTATCCCGCTCTGACATATTTCTTATCTTCAGCTCCATGCCATAGTGGTCGACATCTTACGTTCGGAGGGCCGGCGCAAGCGAATGCGGTGCTTCACCCGTCAGTTATGCGACAAGGATGCCCGACACCTCGTACCTATTCGAAGCATGCCGGTGCGCTGGAACTCGACATATGCAGAGATCGAGCGCGGCCTCAAGCTCCGACCGGTGAGCTTCTGTGAGCTTCGTCCCATGCCCTGACTACGATTGACAAATGTGGACAGGCCATCAATCAATGGATCGAGCAACTCGACCATGGCCTGACGGGGAAAAAGGTGCAGGCTGCGCGGACGAAGAAAGCGAAATGGTACCTCTCCCCCCAAGACTGGGAGATGCTCGCCGATATATGCACAATACTCAAGGTAAGTATATGCGTCAGAGACGGTCGACATGGGGTGTTTAATGACATACTTGTTGCAGCCATTCCACAATGTCACTCTTCAGCTGTCTATGGATGGTGTACCGACACTTCCGATGGTCCTCCCCCTCTACAAATATCTTGAGAAGCACCTCCAGGACACGAAGGCGTCGCTGAAGAAGCCACAGCAGGCTTCGTTACGTCTGGCATGCTCGGCCGCCTTTGAGAAGATCGACAAGCATCTCAATATTGCGCTCATATCTAAATATCCTCTGCTCGGTGCCGGTACGTATACTCTTGATATCTGAACATACCACGCTCAACATCGTTCTCATTCTCTTCTTCGCAGTCCTTCACCCTTATGTTCGTATCGCCTACTTCAAGAATACGGACCTCTGGGACTCGGACATTGCTGTTCGTGCGCGTGCTCTGCTTGAAGAGCTCTACGACGAGTACGCCGAACGCCTCGGTACTCGCTCCACCTCGGACACTGCGGCTGCCGCCCCGTCTACAGACGCTGACCAGAGCAGTGCGTTTGCGTGTGCCATCGCGGCTGGCAGGAACTGCTCGCGCGCGTCTTCTGGTGATGAACCACAGAGTGAGGTCGACCGCTACGTGAACAATGCCTACCCTTGCACCAAAGTCTATGGAGCACTTGAATGGTGGCGGGTACGTACTGTCAACATTGTCCTACTTTTAATCAACTCAATGCTCATCGAACTTCCACTACTAGGACCACGCCAAGGAGTTCCCGGTGCTCTCAGTTATTGCGAGAGACGTTCTTGCCATACCTGGGGTCAGCATCGCTATCGAACGGCTTTTTTCTTCGTGCCGTCATACCCTTACGGATGCGCGCTCTTCAATGCTGGCCGAGACAGCATCGACGACTATCGTTACGAAGGAGTGGCTGAAACGCGGTCTCGGTGACGACATTGCATACTTGGAGGATGTGACAATTCATGAGTAGATATCATTACATAGTCATACAATTTGGATACAATACACCTACGATACGATCCAAGTACATAGCCAACTCTGAGGGCAGGATATTGATATATATTGAGTAGATACGGCCTTCCGAGCGTATTTACTCGTATTTGTGCAGCCCTAGTAGCGCGCGACTCGCTCCGAGTTCGAGTCCTGACCGAGCTCTGCTTTCTTCCGCCCAATATCTTCTGGCAAATTAAACGACACAGTAATTGCAGCGGTAAATTTTGAAGCCGATCGTGCCTTTCCAGGTATAGCGACGGTATGCACTTCATGCGTTCGCCTTGCAACGAGCACAACATCGACAGTGAGTCAAAGATCCCGGAGTTATCGACTCACACTGGTCGTATCATAGGTCTTCATCCCTATGACACGATTGTGCCTCAGATGCAGGATTTGTTGAGTATCGCTTGCGCGTGCGACTCTAGTCGATCTATGAATCTACTCGAAAGGATTCAGTCGTTTCCGATTTCGTGCGAAATACCCTCGGGCGGGACGCACATGGTTTGGTGAGCTGGCATTCTCTTTACATCCGATGTTCTCGCTGTATGCAGAGTTTTTAAGTGAGGTTATGCAGCCCTCTGGGACAAGACATGCACGCCATAGAGCGCGAGTGCCAGGTCGAGTCATTATATGCACACTCGACCGTATGCGGAACGGGCGCTTGCCTGAGCTTTCGCTCTCTCAGTTTCTTGTTCTTTCCTACTACGAGCATCGACTAGCAGGTGTACATCGGCGTGCACGCAAACAAGGAAAGAAACAAGAATATCAAGCGGCGTGTACTGCGTGCCTCGGAACTCAATATCAGGCCGGCGCAAAACCCATCCGAAATCCAATTTTTGAGGTATGTCTGTGCTGGAAGCCCCTATTTGTGTGGTCGGGCTTCATATCGACCTTTTTTTCTCCATATAGATTATGCCCAAGGCTTCCAACAAGGCGAGAGTGCCGACGGCTCCTACGCAGCCCACGGACACAAATACAGAGCCGGGTGCCGCTGTAGACTCTTCGCAGTGGCGCAAGTCCACCATCCGAGTCTCCGAGGGACTTCAGTAGAGGGGTTGTAACCCCATGGCCTATTAGGCCACCGCAGTTAACCCCGGGACTTGACACCGGAGCACTTAGACTTTGTAAAATACATTACTAAAAGTCGATAATAAATGGCATCACGGAGGAATTGAACCGGCAACACAGCAGATCTGAGCCAGCAAGCCGGGCAATCTAACCATTGTACCACCGGAGTTTCCTTTCCTCAATAATTTAATACAATATATTGGTTTTGTTGGTTGCGCGAAGAGGACCCGCCATTCGTGCTCCCTCCCCTCCCTCGCTGCGCTCGGGGGGTCCCCCGGACCGGGAGCACTCAGGCGGGCACACTAAAGCCTCGTTCGCACGATTTCTACAGACTGGCTCCTCTCAGGGGAGGGGGAAAGTCGTTTATTGAGTGGCCTAACCCAAATACCTAACCCTAAGCCGAACCCTAAGGTAGCACACAGGCCTAAGCCAAAGGTAATGTGGCAAGGCCTCATGGCGTAGGGGTATTAGTGGTCGGCGTTGTACTCATGGTGCTGGTTCGAGTCCCAAAAATACCATTTTATTTAATGTGTGCCAAGTCCCCCGGAGTTAACCCCGGGGCCAACTACGGGTGGCCTAATAGGCCGGGGGGTTGTAACCCCTCTACTGAACATGTTGAGTCTCCACAACGGTAAGCACACTCGCCTTCACAATGTAGACGCCATACCGACTATGCGAGCGCTGTTAGATCACAAAGACGAAAGCAAGAACCGAATATCATCTCAACGACGAAGACCTGAGCGCTTAAGGACGTCGGGATGGCCGAGGTTCGATTTTTGATTTTCGCTTTTTTGACGCGCGCCGCGGCTCCTCCGGCTATTACCGCAAAGTGTTCGTGGGTGGTCCAGTCGTTCACTGAGCCTTCCGCTGGGCACTTCTACCACACTTAGGATATGTTCCTAGTCATTGCTGAGGCAGATGGACGGACGTCATAGTGTTGGCTATGTGGATAGGGAGCTCTGGCGAGCCCCAGGTGGGTGAGTTTCAATGATTTCGTGAGCCTACGTACTTTACTCCGACGCCCAACGCGCCATTACACACGTCTAAGCGCAGTTCATACCGTTTCCTGCCGTTCTACAAAAAAGCTAATAGTTACCTCCCCCATCCCATATGAACAAACCAACACTATCTAACACAAACTGCCAGTGCGCTCGCCGCAAGGCAACATGTCGCGGAGGCAAATCGACCCGTACGACGCGCCGAGTCGCCCCCCAGGTCGCCTCGCAGAACATGCCCGCCTGAGTGTCTCTAGATTGGCGCCCCTGCCCTCGACGCCGCACACCTGCCAGCTCCCCACAACCCAGGAAGGTTCGCTTGGCTGCTGTATCGTACGGCCAACTTACTTCCTCCGCATGTCTTCTCGCAGCAACGGGTGCAGCGCCCGGCGGAAGGTGCTGTGTGCAAGGTAAGTTGCAAGCTTCAATTTTACGAGCGGCACAACTGACGTACCGTACATTATACACCATCTTGTCGTAGACATACAAGGTTGTGGGTTCCGCGCTGGAGACAGACGTGAACCACGGATCGAGTAAGGTGACGACGTACCGCAAATCGACCGTCTGGGCGTAACCTTGCCATGTCCGCGCCGCGCTGTGGACTCGGGGAGCAGCGTAGAGCACGGCTGCGTGGACGTACCGCGCTCCAGGCGCCACGTTGAAGAGGCTGCGGCGACGCGAGGTGAGTCCTGTGGCGTATAACTTGTACTCGTAGCCACGACCGGCAGGAATAGATGGCATGGCGTCCTTCGGGATCGCGCTCGCGCTGTCCGAGGACGGCAGCGAGGTTGTCGCCTGGCACATTCGCACATTCAACCGGCCGCTCAAGTCGCAGGCAGAAGAAGGATTCCCCCCGTTTGACAAGAGAAAAGGAGAATTAAGGGTATCCGGACGTTCTCCGACTAGAGGGGCGTCCAGGTCGATGACCTCGCGCCGGGCGTCGGGCTGCCCGAGGACTCGCACCGCTCATTGGGTGGGGCGCGGGCTTGACCGGCCATAGGTCGGGGTACGCGACACGTTGGCGGCACACAAGCCGGTGATGCACGGACTGTCTGTAATGTTATGCGGTAGGTGGTGGAGGAGGAGGTAAGGTGCGGATATCCTGTGTGCTCACTCCTCGACGGCGTGAGAAATAAGGCTTAGTATGGAACATACGAGCGCTTACGGCATACAATGCGTAAATGTAAAATGCATAAATCGAACCTCGGCTCTCCCGTGTATCATAGAGCGCTCTTGCCTTCGTCAATGCGGAGTACGTGTGAAACTACCGGTAGAAAGTCCCGCCTTGCTCACCTCGAACAGCCACCACGTAACACGTATCAACCGCACCGTCAACAAGCGCCTTTACAAGAAACGTGAAGTCGAACAGAAAGCATGGGAGAAGCACGGCGGGCCAGACGGTTTCGACGCATAGTGAGCAACTCTCCCTTCGTCTACGCTTCTGCCCAGGCTCATCTCGGCTCTCCTCTGCAGCGTTAGAAGGCTGCAACACAACCGCTTCAAACGCGCGCTCGCAAAGCCTATCCCACAACCCTCGACCTCTAATGCTGCGACCAGCACGCACGTCGCGCAGCCATTGCCTGTGCCATCGCGTGACGGCCGGTCGTGGGTCCTAGAAGCATGCAATAGAGCGCTCGACTGGGACGACAGGACGTACTCGAACCCGTACGAGGGCTCCTTCCCCTTATACGACAGCCCGCGCGCTCGGGCGAAGCCTATGCAAGAGGCCCTCCGGTTTCAGGCGACATATCCCTTGTCGCGCCCGACGGTTCCCTTGCCTGCGTCGCCGACTATAGATGCTCTGCGCGCCATTCTGGCAGAAGCGCCGCGGCTGCCGAAGGAACAGGCCCACTCTTTCGAACCGATCCTCGTACTGGGGATCGACGCGACCCATCACTCCTGGCCAGAGGAGGATTACTCGTACGAATGGGCAACGTGGTATCTGAACAACCTCTTTACTGCACTCTGCAACGTCATCATCGTTCATGGCACCGGCGAGGCCGGCTGGCTCTCAATACGCTGGGAAGTTTACGACAAGGTACGCACTGTCCTGACCTCGCGCCGTCGTGCGTTGACCCAGCGTGCTCCTTTCACCCTTAGTACACGGAGTGCATCGGCGGAATCTCGTATGACCGTAAAGACGGGTGGGCCGACGGAGCGGCGCACTGGCTAGACGGCGCTTATTCCCTCGATGACCCGAGGAACATCGCGTTCTCGTTCTCCTCGAGGTCGAAGAGCGTCGTAGGCAGCCGATACAACCAAATGCTGCCGTACCGGACACCAGCGGACCATCCGCACGTCGGGCGCGGATAGGCCACCCCTCAGCTGTAGCAGGGTCTCCAGCATGTGCTGCTACAACATACTTCGGGTATGTCTCGCATACAAGAACTTACTTCAAAGCACTCACCACAGCCCAGCTCTTGCAGAGGGTGACGTGATTGTGAAGGCAGAACAAAGTACACCCGGAATGGCTCGGCTTCGAGTCAGATGAGGCGCGGGCAGACGGCTCGAATTATCCTGTGGAACCATCGCTACGCCGAACACAGCCGGTAAACAGTGTATCATAGCGAGTGCGAATTCAATGTGGCTCTTAGCGACACGAAAGTAATCTTTGCCAATAGCGGCGAGAATTTGACTAAACTTGGCACAATCCCATCGGTGCTCCAAGGTTATTGCCATCGCAGCCAGGGCGAACCAAGCAGTGAGTTCCGTTCATTATTCGAGGGCTATAGGCCGTTGAGCTTATGCGCCGAATAGGGATATGTCCCAATGCCCTTTGCTCGCGACCTCACAATGCGTCCACCACGCCAGGTTGGCTGACGTCTCTCGAGCCTTGCCAGCTAAACATGTTGTGGCTCAATGCCATCTGCGCGTGCCCCGCTTTGACCCTACTCTATGCCAGGGAGGCTGCCATATATAATGTGCACCTTGACCACCCTTGATGCCTAACATCTCATCAACAGCAACAGCGTAGAGCTCGCAGTATCCCCTTCAAGAGCTCACTGTTCTTACCCTCACGCCACATGGACACCAAATCTAGCTGCAAAGTACGCGATATTATGTTCTCCGGCCGTATATTTGCAGCTAACCACCAGATTTTAGAGCGGCGGGCACGATCACGGGGAGATGCATGCGGCTAACCAACCTAGCCTCGCGTAAGCCACCCTGCCACTGATTCTAATCCATGAGTCGCGCTTGCTCAATTCAAAGATAGCTCGTCAAGTGCTCAAAAGTGGTTCTGCAATTACGAAGGCTGTGGCTACGAGTGTGGGCTGAGCCGGGGCTATGCACAACGGCATTTTATTGGCAAGCAGTAAGCGATGTCGGGATACTATCACAGTCTAAATATGTACTGATATGGCGCTTTTGTAGCTTACAGGAAGCCATATTCGTCTGCATGCAATGCGGCGACGCATACGCATGGTCGCAGGCGCTGCTGCGCCACCAGAACTATAAACACCCAGACAGGACGGACGAAGAGAAAGCCACTCAGAAGATCTTGAACCGTCGTGCCAAGGACGCCGTTCTCGTACGCTATCCCAACATGGTACTAGAACCCAACGAATCCCGGGACACTCCCAGGATACCCAGGTGGGATAGCGATGATCTTGCTTGGGAAGAAAGCCCTGCTATAGCGCCTCTCTCAGTGCCTGTCCGACCCCTGCTGCATGGCGCGTTCGCACTGCAGCAAAGCACTCGGGAGCATATGGACCACCCGTCACCGAAGCCGCACCCATACTTGCGCTAGCACGATCGCACGGGAAGGGTTTGCGAACCCAAGGCAATAGCAACCTTTCACGGCTTTTCAACCTCTCTCTTCGTATCTTATCACCATACCGTATGTTCTCCTTCAATATGATCTTCCTTTGGACTTCTCTTTTGGTGCATTCGACTATAACTCGTGGCACAGCCACTCTAGGAAGACCCTCGCTAATTCTCTGCACCTTGGTCTCGATGTCGACGCCGAGGAACTGCGTTTCTTTCTTTCACAATTCACCTGACAGCCGGTCTTCCTTTGGACTATGCCACACCCGTTCAAGATACGTAAGATCCGACCTCTTTGAAGACGAATAACAGGACAGATAGGCGGTCATGACACTTTGGCTATCGTCCCGCCGCTTCAATTCTCTTTCATGGTGGGTCTATATAAGGATTACCCTCGCCGCCCGCAATTTCAACGCCATCGAAGAAACCTCAGTCCCAGATCATCACAACCGCTGCCGTCCCATAGCCTCAGCGCCACATGAACTTGATGTCCGACTTTAACGTATGCACTACTCGTAGTTACGCTCTCATGCCGACCAGTCTGAGCTGACCATCGATTTCCAGGAAGAATATCATGTGTCTACTTCAAGCCGTGTCACTCAAGGCTTTCCAGACCTCACGTAAGCGGATACTCCTTGATACGAGGCCTGTATGTCGGCTCAACGTGAAGACAGATCGTCCGGCTCAAGGCACCCACTAGATCCTCACCTGGGGTGGAAATGCAACTATGAAGATTGTGTTTATGAAAGTAGTACCAAACGCAATGTTTTCGAACATTTCACCAGCTGGCAGTCAGTTGTGATAGGCATAAGTACTACTGAGGTTTGCATATGTACTAATGTCGGGACCTATAGCGTATCCGAACCCGCGTTTTCCTGCGTGCAGACGATACAGGACGATCACGGGCACGTAATCCAGTGCGGTAAGGCGTACGGAAGCATTGGAGCACTATCGGCACATCGAAAGAAGACGCACACAAACAGGACTTTCGATCAAGACCAACTTCAAACAAGAGTGAATGCTGAAATGCGAAGGCGTTTCCGTTTACATTATCCCAGCATGATACGCTCCGCGCTCGAAAAGCCGCCATTCAATCCTATTTGGGGGGTCGTCAACATACCGCCTGCCGAAGATCATATTCAAGACCCCGAATGTCCTGTGGTCGAGCCTCAATGCGCAATCGTTCTTCAAGAGGGACAGCAGTGGACCACACAACGTTGTTCCGCTACTGGAGCAGACGATCTCAGGGGCACTTCGAAGGTGCCGAAGCTGGATATCGCTTGCGGAGATCGTGCTCGGGAAGTCGAAGAGAGGCTCACGCCGCTCGCCGCACCTCTCGCCAAACCTCCACAACCCTCGCTGTTTGGCGCATTTGCATTGCGACGTATCGCTTGGCCTTATCCTTATGCGAGCCTCTCGACTCAAAAGCCGTAATCGTACTTGCACTACTGGTTAGTAGTAGCTCAATCACATGAGCAGTTCGTGCGCACCAGGACTCGGACGTCATCTTTTCGCGGAGATTTTTGCATTCTCTCTTTACCTCATGCCAGTATCATATGCCCATGCAACCTCCATATATGCTCAACGAAAAACGACTTCCCTTTCAGACTCCGGGTCGTTTGCAGGTGTAATTGGCCGGGAGTAGCGCCACTACCCCGAGCTTGTGACGGAGTTGCTGGGCGGCTGTCCCGCTACTTGTGGGCTCGAACGAACGGACGCACTGCGATGTCGGAGGACAACTGACAAATTCGACATCCTGTTCTTGATGAGCCGCATGACATTGATATCGACGTCCTGAGAGCGCCACGCGGGAAACATGCCGTCGTACCAGGCGACCGCCGCGGCAAGAATATGGTAAGCGTGGTGACTGAGCCTGGCGTCCGCGTCAATAACAGTCGCAGTGCGCAGCTCACCGGTTTTCTGGGATTGCTTGCCCTTCTCGCGCACATCTGTGCACACATGCAACGAGTTTTTAGAGAGTGACTCGCTACGACTCGGACTCTCGGACTAGCAAGAGCGAACAAGTTGATGTCGATGTCCGAGCTCGTCCGAGGGAAGTCTCGGCGGATCTAATCCTATCTGATTACTCATGGTATGCCGCCTGCGCCCGCGCCGCGCGGGCACTCGCAGATCTTATCTGATAAATGCTTATGCCGACCCCGCGCGCAACGTCCTCGAACATCGCATGTCTCGCCACCGCAGTGTCGTTAAATACAACGAGATGTACGCACCGATGCCCCTGACGCACTACCTCCCCCCACAAATCCGCTCCCATGCCTGAGAAGTCGAAGAAGAACGTCGTGATCCTCGGCGGCGGCTGGGCGGGCACGCTCATCGCACGCCAGTTGTCCGGCAAGCTCGACCCTGCGGAATACAGCATCGTGCTCGTCAACGACAGGCCATTCTTCATCCACCTCATTGCTGCCGCGCGCCTTACCGTCACATCGGAGGACAAGCTCGACCCTCGCGAGGACTCGTCGCTCGTCCCATTCGACAAGCTCTTCCTCAAAGGGAACGGGACCACGAAAATCGGAAGGGTCGCGTCGATCGTCGAGGAGGAGCCGGGGAAGGGCGGAGAGGTCGTGCTGAAGGACGGGGAGAGGATCCCGTACGCGGCGCTTGTCGTTGCGACAGGGAACTCGTGGGCGGGGCCAATCAACTTCCCCGAGACGGAGGCAGACGTGCGCGCACACATCAACTCGTGGCGGAATAGGTACGAGAAGGCATCCCATGTCGTGATTATTGGCGGCGGGCCGCTTGGTCTTGGTACGTAGCACGTCTGCGAGCTCTCGGCGCGGACTCACAAAGTCGCCATACATCAGAGACTGCTGGGGAGGTCATAGACACATGGCCGGTAAGTGATCCGTCCAACTTCCAGTCGGCCTGGAACTCACCTTGTGTGCAGCATAAGAAGGTCACCGTCATCCACCACCGTGAGCAGCTGATCAACGACACATGGCCGGAGAAGTTCCGGAAGAACCTCGAGCGGCGCTGGGGTCTACGCGGAGTCAACTTCATCCTTGGGGACGGGTTGGACGTCCCACCAGAAGGGACGATTGGCGTGACCACATACAAGGGAAGGCATATCCCCGACGCTGATCTTGTTGTAAGTACTGATCTGCGTTAGCTTGTGACAATGCCCACTGACCTGTAACAGATCCAGGCCTACGGATCGCGTCCTAATTCCGGTTTCCTGAAGACGTTTGACGAAGATGTCCTCACATCGTACGGCGCTGTTCGCGTCGACGAGCACCTCGAGCTTCCTGGTCATCCAGGCGTCTTCGCAGCAGGCGATATTACCGACATCAAAGAGACGAAGCAAGCGTCGAAGGCGCATAGGCATGTTCCTATCGTTGTAGAGAACGTTATCAGCTTCCTGCAGGGAATGCCATCCAGGCGGGCGTACAAAGGCCTCCCTGAGGCCCTTGTCATCACCTTGGGCAAGGTACGTCTACTCACCCATGCGCGCAGACATCGCGGCCGTCACTCACAGGAGGTCGACAGAATGGCGGCTCGGGGTACTACGACATCCTCTGGGGCGTCCTTGTCGGAAACTTCTTGGTGAAGTGGCTTCTGGCGAGGACCTTGCATGTGAAGAAGTCCCGTGCTATGCGGGGATACTGATCAGGCGACACAGCCTCCTGCTAGACGTATTCCTTCGTTGTTTTGGGGTTATTGACAGTTCGTTTTCTGACATATACTTTCTCTCTTCTTCTACTTGTAATATCAGTCATTCACGAGCCCGTCGTCCTGGGCCGCACGATGCATATGCGTACTCGGGTTTACCGTATACGTAGTTTCCATCGATCTTTTGCGATGAATCTCTTTCAGCTAGTCAGCATTGCAGACCGGAGGTGACTCACAGGATGCGCAGAAGGTACACGGCTTATACCAGCACACAGATGAGACTCCGAATATCGTACTCGAGATACTGGCAGTCATCGAATGAGGAGGTGCCAAGAAAGTGGTGGTTGACATCAACGTTGCATCAGCGTTTTCAAGGGAAGCGCCCTGCAGGAACGGTGCGCTCAGCGCCAACGTGGCGCTAATTTCGTATCTTGGTTCGTTCTCTTCACGCGATCCACCTCGCCTCTACTCATTCTATCTCAGGTATCGTGTATGAGATGCCACGCTAGGCGCACGATCTCCGACTGACCTTGATGCTATAGGATAGTGCGGACATGTCTGCGAAATCTTTGGCTCTATGTCAATGATCTCGAGACGTTCAAGCCTCACCTCTACCAGCCTGTCATGACGGCCCAGCTGTACACTAGCGTTGTGTCGGAGGATAAGAACTCTGCAAAAACTGGATAGAGACCCAGGCAGCCATGGCTTGACAACGTTGGGTCACGCGGAGCAAACCCCGGTCAAATGGGATACACCGACAACATCGGCGACGTGGCTTCTGTCGGTACCGACTGGACTACCATGACTCTTTTTCGAACCAGGCTTGAATGGCACACCTGGGGTTCTTCGGGGTTCTTTGCGTCGAAAAGACATGCCGTTTTTGCTACAATACTGTGTGGCTTCCCGATTGAGCCGCATTTGCGCACACGTCTTGATCGAATGCACTCTCGGCGTATGCGGTCCACTGGGATAACGTTATGAGCAATTCTAAAATCGCTTTAGGGCCGGCTATGTTGTCACTGGAATCTACACATCGGGGACCCCAACATCCGTGCACGGGTATATAGCTGCTCATTTTTCGTCTCCTTGCCACCACCCCTCAACTACCCTTCAAGCTACAACGCCCCACCCATTTGCAATGTCTTCGCCGAAAATTTGGTTCAGTGAGTCCTCTCACTCTGTTTCGTCGCAGTATGACGCTTACCTCGCCATCGCAGTCACTGGCGCGTCGTCCGGGTTTGGACGACTCCTCGCAGAGATCATTCTGGAGAAAGGCGAGATCGTAATCGCAACTGCGCGCCGCCCTTCCGCACTCGATGCGCTCACCTCTCAGTACCCTGCGGAACGGCTGCTCGTCCTCCCACTCGACGTGAACAAGCCCGAGGAGATCATTGACGCCTTCGCGCGCGCTCGGACTGCATTCGGGCGCATCGACGTCGTCGTGAACAACGCCGCGTACGGTGTGCTGGGCGAAGTCGAGGCGGTCCGCGAGGAAGATGCGCGCGCGATGTTCGAGACGAACTTCTGGGGTGCGATGCACGTCACGCGCGAGGCCGTCAAGTTCTTCCGCGAGGTGAATGGGCCCGCTGTGGGCGGACGGCTTCTGCAGGTGTCTTCTATTACTGGCATCATGGGCGGGCCGGGTCTCGGATTCTACTCTGCGACCAAGTGCGGTGCGTGCGATCAGCTCAATTCGCTGCTTTCTATGCGCTGATCGCGACGCATATATGCAGCTCTTGAGGGCCTGACGGAGTCGTTGGCGGCCGAGATTGACCCCGCTTGGAACATCAAGGTTCGAGTGCGGTCTATCAGGTGATAGAATGCTCACCTCCCCCTAGATCACCATGATTGAGCCCGCCGGGTTCGCCACCGGAGGCCAAAGCAAGGTCATCTGGGGCACCCCGCACCCGGCCTACAGCAACGCGCAGCTCCCCGCGACGCAGATGCGGAACAACTTCACGAAACACGGGCCCGATGGCGATGCACGGAAGGGCGCGGAGGCGTTCTACAAGATTGCGCTCGTGGACGACCCGCCGCTGCACTTCCCCATCGGGGAGAAGGCGGTCTTCTTCACGAAGAAGAAGGCGGAGTCGCTGCTTGCGGATACGACGAAGTACGAGTCGTGGTCGACGGATATGAAGGTTCAGCAGTGATGGTAAGTGCTCTTCGCATTTTTTGCTATGGGTTCCTGATGTATCGTCCATAAACTCTGCCCTGCTTATAGGGGTGTTCACCGCAGCCGAAATGCAGTTGTTAGGTGCGTGAACACACTGGAGTTGGGCTCAGGCTGCTGATACCCAGCGCCCAGATACGCATGAGCGCAATGGCCACACCAACGTGCTTGTTACCTTTGACGGCTATGGCATTTCTTGATCCAGGTTGTCCTGGCGCTGCTATATTCGTGCCAACACGCTGAACCGCGTTTCCTCCATTTGAGCCCAGGGCGTGATTGTTGCACGTCTCAAGGAAACCTCGATTGCGCTTTTGTTTGCGTCAGTAGAACATCATAATCATGTGCTTGATTGTGCGGGTAATCCGTTTATGGTAATAATGTGGCACTCCGATATCCTAACTCAAATGCACGGAGTTCTTGTCGTGCTCCTTGTTAACGCCTCGCTATTTCCCCCCTTTGCACTTAGCTCCTGCGCAGCTCTCCTAACCTAGTCTAAGACCCTCATAATGTTATGAACTTCGTACACTGCTTCTGGTGAGTGATGGCATCCTAGATGTATACGAGGGAAGTCTTTTAACGTACTCTCGTCATGCCGTCCAGAATCTACCGGCAGTGGACGCCAGAATCCCCTCAATGCCGAAGGATAAGTCACTGGGCGCCCCTAGTGTTCGTCCTCGTGCCAAAGCCACCCAAAAGCGAGTGAAGGCAAAAACGAAGGCTACCGAGACTCTAAGCTGAGGCCGCGACTCTTCCAAGTTCCAACATTGCCGTGCGCGCATCCCAATGACTACTGTAGGATCTATTGTCCTAGAGGCTGGCTAATATTCTGACTCTGTACCATCCGCTGTGACCATCAGGAGCCAAGATCGGAGATCCGTATCGTCGGTCGGGCGAAGCGAGTCGCGTCGGCCCTTGAAGCCAAGTTGGCATATACCATCTATAACGTCGCGACTGATGAGACGCATTTCCTCTTAGGTATAACAAACAGCCAGACTGTCATTGAGGTACGGTCGCCGGAGCGAGTATGCTGTGTCTCTGATTTAGTGCTTGGTTGAGTGCAGTGGCACATCTAACCGGCCATCGGAGAGCTGGGCCACAACTGCTGCATGTCCACCACGTATGGCATAGCGCACGCTTTGAGTCTCGAGAGGCACACTTTGAACAGGCTGCGGCTGGCCGACGCGCATTGACATGGTTTTTGCGCACACTGTCAAGGCGGAGCCTGGTATGAGCTTGGTGATCAATTTGCGTTGATTATTCCCCTCACCTTCCACGTATATAAGGACTGCTCAAGACACTCAACATGCAGCAACTTTCAGATCTCGAACAGCGTCCCAGCCTTCACAGCGCCACCGACAGTTTCTAATCGCAAGATTGCTGGTATAAGATGGATGCACATATGCATGTTCTTGATTTTGGACTCGGACCACAGGTACACCTCACTCAGTCTTTTTGTGGCACTTCTGATTGTAGGCCATCCAGGTTGCCTACAACTCTCCCAATATCGAACACGATCGCAAACTGCACCACTGTGGCTACCCACAATGCGAGTTCACGGCTCGAGCGATGTCGAGCGTTGAGGAACATTACATCTCCAGGCAGTCAGTGGTCATATACTCGAGTTAGTGCACACACTAATCCGCAGCCTCGTTCAGCACGTCAGAGCGCCCGTTCATCTGCACGTACAACGCAGACCTGAACCACATGAACGGTGGAAGCGGGCATTGCGGTGCCTCTTATAGCTCCTGCGGGAGTTTATCCTCACATCGAACCCGTTTTGGACACCGTGTGGACAACTCCGAGTCCGAGAACGTGTATGCCGTTGGTATGGCGCGCATGCGTGAACGCTATCCCAACATGGTGCTAAAGCCCAGCAGCCATGCCTTTGTGCCCCTCACTCCGGGTACGCCTAGTCCACAGGCATCGCAGCGCTCCAAGCCTACGCGTCACATCGACGCTACCGTCGCGCCCGTACCCGCACACGCATCTGCGGCGGCGGCCCTGTCCGAGTCGCATCGCTACCCTGCGCCCCGACCAAATGGATCCAGCAATTATCCATCGCAGCCCAGTCTTTGGATGGATGTGGATGACCGAGCCCGTGCAGGATCCTCTCAGGAAGGAAGGCCTACGCTAGCGCCCCCCTCCGGGATGGAAAGAGCTGGCCTTCAACTATCCCGCCCAAACTTCCCGGGGAATGGCCCACAATTGGCCCGGAACACGCTCCCGACGCCGAATCTGCGTCTCCCATCCTCGTCGGAGTCCTCGCTTACATCGCGCCCCCCTCGGTCCTAGGCGGTCTCCCTATCTTCGACGCCGCTGCCCATGCCACGCCCACTCAAAGTAACACGTCCAACAGATCTTCTGTACGCGATCTTGCCACTCAAGGTCCATATATGTCCACATATGCTTCCGTAGTATGTCACAGTATGCCCGCCAGAATATGATATCCCTTTCGACCCCTGCTTTCCACGAGAATCTGACATAGCACGGCGACTTCTACCTAGCAGTTCACAGGTGCTCGACTACACCCAGACCCCTGCTGATTCCCCCCGACGCACTCTCGACGAAGACTCCGGAGTAGAGCAGCCCCTCGAGATCGCCCTCCTGAATGCCAAAGTGCGGGACGTCGTCCTGGTCTGCGGGCGGGTCCGCCGGGTTGACGATCGGAAGCTGCACGACCACGACCGTCGAATTTTGAGTGTCCGTAGTCTCCTTTACAGCAACAGGCGGGCATACCTTCAGCACCGTGAAGTGATAGTCGCCCTTGCCGTCCGGGCCAAGTGCGACGGACGGGTTGGGGGTCGTGTCCACGACCTGGTGCAGGAGCTCAGCGTCCTGTGAGTACCACACGGCGAGCGTCCGGTTGTTCCAGTCGACCGCGACGGCGAAATTGTGCCATGCGTGGTCGGTGAAGGGCGTCGTGAAGAGGACGTTCAGGGCGTGGTCCCGGACTTTGAACTCGTGCGCATTCGGACCTGGGAGCGGGCCCGTCGGGTTCGTAAAGGGCGTGCCTGCAGTGATGGGTGTATCTCAGTACCCGGAGATGCAGAACAGGACACCAGATGTGCACGCACCGAGCTGAATCTTGAACACCTGCGAGCCGTCGCTCGGCTCGATGAACACGATCTGGTACTCGTGCGAGTAGTTGAGCTGGCGCTGCAGGTCCTTCTGGATGGAGACGTGGAAGATCGTCGTGTTCGTCTCCATGCGCGCGTTCAGCTCGGTGTGCTCGCCGTCGACCGCCGCGATGATGTCTGTGCGCCGGAACCCGAACTGCGGTCCCCCGGAGCCCGGGATGAAGATCGAGCTGTTGTCGATCGACACGGAGATAACTTGCTCGCGCGGGAGCAGGCCCTCGTTCCATAGGGGCGTGGGCAGCTTCGAGTGCCCGAAGAGGTGGTCGTACTAGCGCGAGGAACGTGATCGGGTCAGCGCATGGTCGTCGATTGCCAAGGAAAGAACTTACGTGCGTCGCGTTTTCAGGCCCCTTTACTATCCTGCAGTCGCAGTAGTCAGTAACTCGTGGCTCGCAGGCTAGAAATCTGGTGGACACACGTAAGGAAAGGACCGGTGGAGGTATCGAGGTCGGCATTAGTGAGGTTGAACGGGGCGCGCCCGTCCCATATGACGGGCGTCGCCAAAGCAGAAGCCAAGAGACCAGTCAAGAAGACGAAGCCGAGCATGGTTCGCTATGCGATGGTAAGTGGTGGAAGGTGATGCAGGACGCTCGGGCTGCATCCTGCCCTCCTTATACTTTCCAGCTTCAAGGCGCTTCGGGGACAAACTAAGGAAAAAGCTCGGCCAACGCGAGCGTACGTACCAGCAGCGGCGACAAGTATAACCATGGCGCAATTTCGAATTTCGATCCGAACCTCGCGCTGTCAGGTGCCAAGAAAAGGTGTCGTATCGTCGTTTGCCAGCAGCTCTATGTACCAAGGAAAAAGAAACTGGATGGAGTCGTCAATGACATGGAAGCCTCGTCACGATGCCTACGGATTCACTAGTCAACGTTCCCTCTTCGATTCTAGACCCCGTCGTTCAAGGCAGGTCGAGGAAGTGTGACAGGAGAGTGGTAAAGTTTGGTGTACCGAGTCCGGTGACCGGGTCCCATCCCTCAGTCCTAAAAACAGGCATCAGTCAGTATATGAACGCGGAGTCGAAAGTGCATGCGACGTACGCGGTGAACCCAGGTGTGCCTGCGGGAGACACACGCCCGTCAGAATGAGCCAACGCTTCGCATGAACTTGCACTTACCGCAACCCTGGTTACCTCCGGTGGTAATGTCGTGGAAGGAGTCGGCGAACGCGTCCGAGTAAAGCTGAGGGTAAAGAGAAGTTCAATGAGCCGCTTCTCTTACGAAGATGGATCATCTTACTGCCGGGTTTATGAATCCTAAGAGTATACGTGTTAACATTTTGCCACAAATGACGAAACGGCGGATGCACATACCCACTGGGCCCTTGCCAGCAGTTATGCGGGCATCGTTGATGAGAGTAATCAGTGAGCCAACAACAGGCGCAGAGCAGGATGTCCCGAAGACAAGATCGAACTCTCCGGCAACGGCTGGCGATGTAAGTTCAGCGCTGCCTCCACTACATGCACCGCGACGTATACTTACCCACGACGTAGTTGGCACTACAGATCACCGTTCAGCATGAAAATTTGACCAGACGAGGACTGAGCTCACCCGTTAGCGGAGATATCCGGAAACGCACGAGACTATGCAAAACAATGTCAATGAAGCCCGTTCTACAAAGAACGACTCTACCTACAGTTCCGCTGTTGTTGAACTGAGCACTCGTGAAGGGCGGGGGGTGGTTGGTCAAGAAGCTCGAGACCTGGGCGGCTTGGTAGTCCGGAAGGTCGAAGAAGTTGCTGAATCCACCGCCGCTAAAGATGACCTGCTCGCATGCGCCTTCCGGGTCGTTGACGGTGGAGCCGGGGTTGATCTGCGTAGCGCCAACAGCGGTGATGAAGGGGCAGGTCACCGGGAAGTCCGGGCTGAATTGTTTTCCAGTCTCGGAAGGTTGGCCTGGTATCGTGTGCAGTCAGTACAGAGTCTCAGTGTTGATTGAAGTCTACATACCGTCAGGTCCGAGGCAGATCCCTCCGTTGCCAGCGACGCCGTTGTCGCCGGTGCTGTACAGCACCGTCGTGCCTAGTAGACCGAGCTTACCATACTCGGCGCATTGGCGCGCGGCGTAGAAAGGCGTAACTGAACCCTCGTCTTGACCGTAGGACGCAGAAACGACAAATGGAGGTGCGATGATACCGCAGGACTCAGGCTCTGTAGGCGGGCAATTATTTAGTGCAATGAACGTCAACCAATGTAACTATACGCACGGTTGAAACCGCCAGGAATAGGATCCGGGTAGATACCGTCCTGTTGTACAACGTGAGCGCGAGTGTGATGGTGGCCCATGCTGATTACTGTACCTGGGTGGGATCGTCGCCGCCTTCGAAGGTACAGAAGGATCCGTCAACCGCATCCAGCCAGTTGTTGAAAGATGCACCTGTGCAAAAGACTATCAGCTACCCGTATGCAGAAAGTGCGAGGTCGACATACCCTGAATGAGGTCGCCCGCCTGCAGGAGCAAGATCGGTTGGGGGTTGGTGAGTCCAAAAGCGTACTGCAAGTCGAGGTCGCTCTCTCCGTTGAAGTTGAAACCTTGCCTCTGGGTCTGTGCGAAACCTGGAAGTGATGTGAGGACGGCCTCTAACTCGAAGGAAGTCGCCACTACCTCCATCGATAGAGATGAGCTGAGGCGAGGTGCCAACTTGACTCGGAGAGAAGTTCCTGGCACGCAGTCGATCAGCCGGGCGCATTGCATTCGGAAACATACGGTACTCACCCAAAGAACATATCCAGGTCACTCTGCAGGAAGGCCTGGGGCGTCAACTCCACTAGTAACAAGTTCAGTCAGCACGCTCGAATACGTCAGTACTTAGCCGCTTACAGATGCCGAAGGTGTTCTTGTCCGTGGACTGGGGGGTGTAGTCGACAGAGTAGAGCGCACGCAGGCAATCCAGGGTGATTTGCTTGTCGCAGTTCTCGAGGCCGGGGGTGATGGTCACCTGCTGGCCGTTCGTCTTCGGGCCGCTCATAATCGCAGCCTCGATCTTCCCGAACTTGGGAGTCGACCGCTTCCTCAGGTTCATGTCAGACCTAGGCACCCTGTGGAGGAAGTGCACGGTGGGCTGAATAATGTCGATGTGCTCCCGCACGTGCTCGGGCACGGAGTAGGAGTTGCAGCCTAGGAACGGTCGTCAGCTTCTCACAACAGTCATGCCGATGTCGTAAAGCAGCCTGCATACCGATCTGCTGGACCCCAGAAGGGTGCGAAAACACATGGTATTCCGCGGCGATGAGGTCCTCAACTTCGGCGGTCGTCGCGTTGACCTCGATCCAGCCCTTGCTCGCGCTGAGACGGAGGCGTTCCTTAGCAATGCCAGACTCGGTGAGCCAACGGGTCACAGCGCCGATCGTCTCGTCGGACGGCGCGAAGGTGTCCACGACGTCCTCGGGGGAGAAGTGCTTGCCGTAGCTCTGCGAGGTCGGGTGCGAGACCGACATGAGCATCTCCTCGAGCTTGTGCAGGTTGTTCTGTGTCAGACCGAAGCGCATGGGCAGCACCACGTCCGGCTCGAGCTTGCGCGACAGCTCCCAGTCAACGGGCTCCATCGCGCGCTTCTCGTGCACGACAAGGTTGGAGCGCGGGGAGGGTAGTGCGGGCACTAGCGTGGCGAGCGCGAGCGCCCAAGTCAGAGAAAGAAAACGCATGGTCGGGAAGCTAGCAGGGACCGATGGGGGCGAGGTGGGCTGCGAGCTCCGGGGACCGCTTGGTTGACCAGGCCCGGCCTCTCGTTTTATGAGTCCGCCACGGAAGGCCTGTTTGGCTTCAGGCCGCGTGTATGCGCGGAGAACTTTCCTTTCGGGGCACAAGGCTTCGTGTGGTCGGCGGGAGGCAGTATGTGAACAGGGCGGAATGCCGGATAAGAGCGCCTCGGACTTCTACCATGCAGCGGTGTTGGAACTCAGCGAGGCGCTCCCTGCACCATATGCCTCCCGTGCAGCATGCGAGCGTGCGTAGGCGAGCGAGAGGACACGGTGTACGCACATCGTTACATGGCGGGGCGGGACGATCCTTTGCGCCGGTGTGTGGACGGTGAGAACCGGCTTTGGACCCTGGGAACGCCCTGCACACTCAACTTTAGCACACGAAATGTGGAAAGAAGACGACAGATAAGGATTGAGTCCAGGCTCGGGCCTACCCACGACAGAGTGCGCAGCGCTACGAGGATGGGCCGACGTATAGCACGAGTAGTATTGTGCACCGACATGCGCGGGCCAAGCGTATGCGCGGTTCTCACCCTGCAGCGTTTAAGTCCGTGCATCTCTTCTATGTCAACGGAGGCACTGAACAAAAACTTGACAGGGTGAGACTTGGACGGCGAAGTTCAAGATCCGATGCACTCACCTTGAATAGCATACAGAGCTGGAGAACGTGATCAACAAGGTGAGGTTGCTATGTGCTCCACTCAAACTGTTAGTAGGCACGAACGAAACGCGAGCGGCGGCAAGAGATACTAGAAGATACACTACGATACACAAAAACAACTAACGCAGTACACCTAGATAGCAATAGGGTCGGACATAGGCGGTCCCTCCATGGAGACGTCGGCGATCTCATTCGCGGCAGCTGACGCGGCTTGCTGACGAGCCGCGGCCTTGGCATTCATCTCTTCGATCTCTGAGGTCAATTTGGACTGTGGACGATCTCCCATGAGCTCCGAATTGGCTGCTATGGCAAGAAGAAGACATACTATTTTCTCTTCCAAGTCGTCCTTCTTGAATATCGAGAATGGGGGTGGGGGCGAGATAGCATTTTTGTTGCCTGAGTACCAGATAATGTGAGTGTGTGAGGGAGTGCCGTCGCTGTAGGGACTCACCAAACGCCGCATACATGAAGACTTCGTTCATGAACTCGTGATTCCGGCGGTACCGGGTGAGCGCCAGAGTTCTGGTGGATATTGTGTCGGATTCGTCTATAGGGGTGAGAGTGAGCCACTCGGCTGGTTTAGGTGCAGCGGAGACTCTCACCTGCAGAGTCGTCGTCGTCCACTCGAGCAGCCGCTTGGCGCTGTGCGCGATGAGCACCAACCCGAGAGGAGCAATAACCCAAGCAACCGAGCCTTCAATTGACTCACAGAGTTCATGCTGCCACTCCTGTCGCGGATTGCGCGTTTCTCCAAGGCCTCCATGTTGCTGTTCTGGTGCGCGAGCAATGCCTGCGGGTTCCCGGGTACGTTCATCCCCGGCATGCCGTAGCCCATTCCCATGTCCGGCGGTGGTGCACGATCCACTGCAGAGGGCCCTCGTCCAGCCCCGGAACCACCTCCGGGGAAGACTTTCTGGCCTTGCTTTTCCCCCATGACGTAGACCGCGGGCTCGTTGACTGCTCGCAGGGGGTAGCTGCGGACAGGTTGATTGAGACTGGGCATGATCGCTATGCAAGACTTTAGGAGACACTCGGCGTGCGTAAACTCGGTAGAGACGTACGGGTGGCTTGGCCTCGAGAGTAGTGAATGAGAACGAGTTGGGGGTGGCCGCCCTTTGACAGGCGGAATCGTCTGCGGACACGGAATGCGGAGGTGTCCACGCCGGGGATGAACCCAAACTTTACCTCTGATACTTCCAGTTCCTTGGACGAAATGTCAGTGCCTCTCCGGGCAGTATCGGAGCAGGGCACTCACGCGTCCGCCGGCGATGGGAATGCTGTATCTTTGCTCACGATCTTGATATACCAGACCATCTATCGGGAAGGGCAGTTGGGGCATTTGGAAGATCAAGAACAGTTGTCCCTCTGTAGCAACAACGTCATTAGTATCCGTCTCCGTCCCTCACCACTGAAAGGTCGCTCACCAGAAGGTTTGTCAATATAGGTCCAGGTGAACGGCGTGTGTTGGGCCAGTTGGGTCGCGCGCAATAGCATTTGTACGCTTTGTTCTTGCGAGACTTGCGCGTGCGATCCCAGAGCTTCGGGGTATCGAAGACATAGTCCATCTGTTTGGGCCGAGTGTTGCGCCATGACTTCCAGATATTATGAAAGAAGAGTGTTCGCTGCTTTCGCCTGAATCAGAGCTGTCAGATGGAGGAGGGAGAGAGCAGATGGAGAGGGAGGAGGGAGAAGGAGGAGGGTGCAAGAGCGCGACCGCAAGACGCGAAGTCAACGAGCGCCACAATTCGGCCACGTGCGCAGGAGCGCCCGGTGCCGGAGAGCGGACCGCCTGATCCGTCCTCATGCAAGTTGAGGCTCAAGCGCCCGGCGTCCCTTGTCTTCGACCACTTCCACCCAGAGCATCGAATCATGGCCACAAAGTGAGCGAATTTATAGTATATAGACAATAAACTTATCTGTCATCATGAGGTCTCTCGCGAGCTGCATTTTCTGCAAGATCATCAAGGGTATGTCACAATAGTGTCGACTATCATTGCCTCCTAACCCCGCACTCACGCAGGGGAGATCCCCAGCTTCAAGCTAATCGAGACCGAGAAGGTCTTCTCTTTCCTCGACATCGGCCCGCTCTCGAAGGGCCATGCCCTGATCATCCCCAAGTGTACGTGTCGCTCTAGCCATAGCCAGCATGCACGGACCACCGGGTGCTAACATTGTGTGAGCAGACCACGCGGAGAAGCTCCACGAGGTGCCAGACGAGTACTTCGCAGATGTACTCCCGGCGGCCAAGAAGATCGCCATCGCCCTCGGTGCCGAGAACTACAACCTGCTCCAGGTCAGTGGTGGCAGTCCATGCTTGAAGCTAATTTTGTCGAGATTCATTCGGACGCACTTTACCCCGCTACAGAACAACGGCCGGATCGCCCACCAGGAGGTCGACCACGTCCACTTCCATGTCATCCCTAAGCCCGGCCCGTCCGATACCGAGGGCCTCGTCGTCGGTTGGCCGGCACAGAAGCCGTCGATGGACGAGCTCAAGAAGCTCCACGAGGAGCTCGTGTCAAAGCTGTGAACCTAGGAGATCGCGCATATAGTAAAGTGTACAGTAGAGATGCCAGGTGGATGGAACCAGTGCGACACCGAGTACGAGGAGTACCGCTATATCATGCGGTGAGCGAAGTACGTTAGCAGTCAATTTATCCTATGCACTTCCGTTGTGGTGTCGGACATCTCCGGCGCTCCTCCATAATGGATGTGGTAAAGCTGTCCACGGAAGCTCTTCCGAGTCCAGCTCGACACCTGCGCATTTCGACGTTCAGAGTCACTTTGACAAGATGCTCGCGCTTCCGATAGCATTTGCTGCGAAGTCTTGATCGATAGAACCTGTGCAACCCGCAAGACTCCGCATTTAATGGTATGTGTGAGGCTGTACATGGGCGCTTCCGTTGTGCTATTACTTGACTGCGTCCATCGCTTAGCAGCTGGATACTTCCTGGTACCGCAGCAGCAGTCTGCCTGCTTGCAACTGCAAGTACAACACTCAAAAGATACAGGTACGTTTTCGCAAACTTGGAAGGGCCCGGAATACTGAAACATAGCTGACATACGCTGTATTGGCACAGACACTGGGGCTCTAGGCGGCGACACTGGCAGCTATGCAGAGACTGAATACTTGGCATGGAAGTGGCGGATTCATCGTTTCCGAAGAGATGCAAGAGCTGATTGACCGCCCTGGCTTTCTTCCTGCGGATGTCGGAGGAAGTAGATTACGCTCACTATACCAGCGAGGTGAGGGCTCTCCATCCGCCAACAACAAAGACGAATTGACCATGTCATCCCCCACAGGCACGGCTAAGCTTGAGCCCCGCCTTCTGAGCGACTTTGCGAAATGGTGTTTCACGGGAGACCTGCAAGCTATAAAGCGAGTGAGTGATTCTTCCTGACAACGTTGTTGGTGGCGCGCAAGTAATCGGGACCCGATGCCATACATCGCTTGCGATCTGAGAGCCCCCCGGTGAACCGGGGAAACCTCTGTGGAACTTGTTCCGCCCAATAGCTAAACAGACAAATTCGCTCTGGGTGTAACGGTACCAATGGGCCTGAGGAAGGCTTTTTCAGCGACGCACGTTCCGTGTCTTCGTGCTTTCATATATGCGCGTTGGGTCCGTGCACACGGAGATCAGCTTCTATTTAACCACACATTACGACAAACATCATAGGACATGCCCCTTGACTAGGTGCGAGAACGCGAAGCAAATTACAGCTGTCAAAATTCTCTTTGTGCGGAACAAAGGAATTCTGACATTTATAGTCTGCTTCACAATCTTTCATTCCGAGTCACTCGGGGGCCACGATACCTTTTCATGTTCGCCGCGATGCGGGGTGAGGACTTGCAGCGTCCGATTGAAGTGATATACTCATTGTATACTCACGCTCTAAGTCAGGCCATCGAAGCTGGTGACGCTCCCGATATACTGGGATCAGAAACACCGTATCAGCACGCCTACGCCACTTTTGTCGTCCGCGGGGCACAAAATATCATAGGCACCGCCAGCAGTACAGACCAGGACCACGCGGCCACACTCAAGTATCTGCTCGACCTAGGCGCGCCACCCAACATGCCTGACATCGTCGGGTATACCGCGCTCCACCACGCATGCAACTCGAATCCTCGCCCGGAGCTCGCACGGATCTTGCTTGAGGGCGGTGCGGATCCGAACCAGCAGGACCACTTCGGAAGTGTTCCGCTCATGGGCGCGTTCCAAAACGACGCGGTGCAGTTGGTGGACTTGCTCATGGAGCATGGGGCGAGTCTGGATATCAAGGATGGGGATGGAGATACGCCCGACGACTTCTTCATCAAAGCTGGCCCGTATATCACTGCAGCAGTGCAGAAATGGAAGCGGAGACGGGCGGGGGAAAGGCAGCCATTGGACGAAAAGGCATGCTCCATGTGTGCCAAGACGGACGTCGAGCTCAAGTTCTGCGCCAAGTGCGGCTCGATCCGGTATTGCTCCAAGGAGTGCCAAAGTACGTATGGGGCAACTCGCGTTCCGTCTTGCATGCATCACTGCCGTCTGGCCGCCGCTCATTTACGATGCATCCCGCAGAAACAGACTGGCCAAGACATAAGCTGGACTGCGTGGGGTTCAACGCCGAGACAACAGTTACGCTCAAACCTCACTATGAAGACATTGGCCGGGTGTTGCCCACGGCGGACGTCCAGCGGCAGAAGTTTGGCTACCCGGTGCCCAAGCAGCCCAAGCGGAACATGAGGTCGATGCACATTCCGAACATCCGCCCCGGGGAGACGAAGAAGCTGATCATCAAGGTACAAGTGCCATTCGACATGGACTTGGGAGTGCCGCAGATTGAGGAGACCGGGGACTTGATGGTGTTCGACCGGAAACGCAGCCTGGTCTGTAGGATCCGGCGGCAGGACGACCCAGAGGGGTACCTGCGCATATCGAGGGTGATCCGCGCAAAGGGCGTCGGCGGTGCGAAGGCGTATTTCTCGGCGGAGATGGAGCGGACAGACAGGCTGGTCGTGAAGGTGTCGGAGGTGTTGGCAGAGCAAACGTTTTGAATTGAAGTCGGACCATGCGCCGTGACTCTCTCATACCCTGTCGCCAAGAACCCGTTCATGTTATCGCAGTCATCCTGGAATGCCTCATCATGTCGCTGTAAACGTACTTGCTGTAGAGTACTTGGTAGGCCCACCGCCTGTATTTCGACTGATACATACGTCTCTTCTCGGAGTCCCGCTCAAAGTGAGTACTTGAGTTTTCAGATAATTCTGCTCCAGGGATGGACCACTGAAATATTTCCATATTTTCGAACAAGCCGGTCCCGAATTTTGAGTTACCGGAAGTAGAGTCATCTTCGGAGCTCCGAGATCACCCGACGAGGAGATGTTCTTGGCTATATATGTGGCTTAAATTACGTAATGCATTGACTTTCGGCACTTCGGCGCTGAGCGTTGACCCAGAAAACACCACCCGCCCCTCTTCCCCTTACCACCACCACCTCTTCCTCCTCACGCTCGTCCTGCGCAACCCTGCCCACTCTCACTAGCTTATTGTATGCAAGACTCCGCACCCACACGACGAACGGACTCGATCTCTGGCAATGGTCCCAGTCGCGCACGACTCACCCCACTGCTCCTTCAGGAGGAGCGGCCTATGCAATTGCCACAAGACGAATCAGTCACGACCGAAAACTCCCTAGGGTTTTTCTCAACAGGCACGCTAGATCCCGACCAGAGGCTTTCTCAGGAGCTTGGGCTCTCGTTCTCTCCTCCATCGGTTCTACCGATGTCTGAGCCTGAGCCATGGGGCTCTTTCGCTCTTGGATCTCCTCTTGCCTCGCCCTTTTCTGCCAGCGAGCTCTCAGAGCCTGCTGAGACCGATCTAGCCTCGTCACCGGCAGCTCTCTTCTTGTCTGCCTTCAGCCCGTCTACGTCCGAGCAATTGCTTGCCCCAGACGACGAAGGCTCGGTCATCGCGGGTTACACCCTGGGACCCATCATAGGACATGGTGGGTTTTCAATCATTCGCACTGCCTCGTCTGCGCAGGGTGGGACAGTCGCTGTCAAAATCGTTCGACGGTCGGAACTTGACAAGCAGCCCGATCCCGCATTGGCGCGCAAAAGCCTCGAGCGCGAAGCGGTGGTGTGGGGCGCCCTCAATCACGAACATATCCTGCCGCTGTTCACCGTCAACCATACCCCGTACGCCGATTTCTTCGTCACCGTGTTCTGTCCCGCGGGGAGTCTGTTTGACATTCTCAAGCGCGATGGCCGGCCCGCGCTGCCGCAGGACGATGCGGGGATGATGTTCAGGCAGGTGGTCCGGGGGCTGCGGTACATGCATGAGGTGGCGGGTTACGTGCATGGGGACCTGAAGCCGGAGAATGTGCTTGTAGACGAGATGGGTGTTTGTAAGATCGGCGACTTCGGAATGGCACGAAAGATCGGCGAGATCGACGACGATCCGGAGAGTGAAGAAGACGAAGTGCCCCCTAGCATCCCCCATCGCGCGCGCACGATCTCGCAAGCCCCCTCCTTCGCGCGGAGATCTCTCGGAAGACAAACCGGACTTCCCGCGCTACTGCACCTCAAGCGTCGCCACGCTGCTCGACATCGCAACTCTAGCCCATACCCCGACGCGAGCGCGCCCTCGCCACCGAATGCGAACCGTGGCTTTGCGCCAGGCTCATTGCCGTACGCTGCACCCGAGTTGCTACTTCCGCCGAGCGATGCGTCACCGCGCGCTGCGAGTCCCGCACAGGATATCTGGGCACTGGGAGTCACCCTATATATCCTGTTGACGGGGAAGCTCCCGTTCTCTGACTCATTTGAGCCTCGTTTGCAGATGAAGATTCTCCATGGTACGTAAACTCTGACGGATGCTCCACAAACAAGCTAATGAACTACTCGCATCAGGCGTGTTCGAGATGCCGCAGGGCATTGGCCGTAGCGGCGAGCAAGTCCTCAAGGGCTGCATCGAACGCTCGGTCCCGAACCGATGGACGATTTCCATGGTGGATGAGGTTGCCTGGGGTATCGGGTGGGGCTCTGCGGCAGACGATGTCACGCCGCCGCCAGAAGCAACCCTATCTTGCCGTGCCTCGCGTTCACCATCTCGCTCGCGTACGATGTCCCGTAAGGAACATGCCGTGGACGATTCGGAGAACCGTCGCTCGTTGTCGCGCGCGGCCCGTTCCGCTAGCCGCTCGACATCCGCAGTCCGCACTTCCAGCCGTAGCAAGTCGAGAGCTGCTCATCCCTACGACAACGCCCTCCCCCACCCACTCCTCCACACAGAGCGCCGCCCCGCCCATCCACTTCCGACACAGCCCAGCCTGTCGTCACTTACCAACGCTATCCTCCGCACCCATTCGAGCACGTCGTCCGACTCTGCGGAGACGCAAGACTCCGCCATCATCATCCAACCCAGCATGTCGAACGATTCTGATTTGGACCTCGAGCGCGGACGAATGTCCCGCCCGCGCCTGCAGGCGGACTTGTCCGTCTCTCGTTCTCGCAGCCCCTATCTCCCTCCCACCCCGAAGGACCTCTCTCTCGATAGCGGAGTGCGCCGCAGGAAGTCTCCGCCCTCCAGGCCACTCCTCACCACCCCCGAGTTTGAGAACTCAGCCTCCGAGCTGGATACCTTGGATGAGGACGCGGGATGGCCGATCAGCCCGAGCGCGGACACAGACATGTCAGCAGCGCGAAGCCTCAGCCGGGATATGGACACGGACTGGTCTCCGTCGCGCTCGTCCTCGGGCGCCCGCCGTGGCCGCGAACCCCGTCGCGCGTTCTCACGCACGCGGGAGGAGCTACACAAGATCATGCGAAACGAGAGCATGCCGCCGAATGTGTCGCCCTCCGCTTCGTGGACGGTCTCGTCGATGAGGGAGCCGGGCTGGTACTCGTCTGGCCAGACCTCCGTCGTCGCGCCGGCGACCCCGATGCCGATCCCTGTCGGCGGGTCCGCCTCGGGACGGAGCAAGAGTCTGGGGCCTGACCGCGCTCGCCGTCATGCGCATCTCGGGAACTAGGTTCGCAGTTCGTCGTTTATATATCTCTCCTTTCGTGCACATAGTCCGTACCGTCTCGTCCATCTGTATAATCGATACCCCTCCTCATCACTCGTTCCTTCCATCATCTCTCCTTTCCTCTCTCGCCGTGCATACCTGTTCTCGCCTCACTCCCCCATCCCTTTGGCCTATCTAACAACCACGCGAAGTGTACGGGTAATCTGGTAATGATCCATGTGATCGCTGTACGATTGTGTCTACAGTATGTACATGTACGCTCAGCAATGTGCTTGTCTATTTCCACGTCATGGTCATGTCCCCGCATTGATGTACTATACCCTGTGTCTATAGCCTACGTATCATATTGATCCGTTTGCGTGTACGAGATATTACAATCGGGCTATCGTGATTTGCAGGACAGTCGTCCACCAACATGAGATCAAATCGGGCTTAGTAGGATGAACAGCCGGATACGGGTCGGGCCCCGCCACATGTGGCTGCACCTTTGACTCGTTATCGACTCGTCGTGCTCGAAGACCTTGAGCACGACCTCGACATCGTTTCACATAGAGATCGCGCAATGCTGCTAACTATCGTGCAAACCGCAGGGGTTCTCTTATTCTCTGTCCTCGCCTACCGGCTACTCTTCGCCCCTCTCGCACGGCTTCCAGGACCAAAGCTATGCGCGATAACTCGCATACCGCTTATGTATAACGAGTTCTCCGGGACACGACGTCTGTGGATACATGGCCTGCATCTGCGCTATGGGCCGGTCGTGCGGGTTGCCCCAAACGAGGTGTCGTTTGCGAGCCGTGAGGCCGCGAAGGAGATCTACACTTCCGGCGGCAGCGGATACGATAAATCGTCGTTCTACTCCCTGTTCGCTAACTTTGATCAGCTGTAAGTGCTCGTGATATAGCAGGAGTGCTGGCCACTATGCTAAGATAACATTTCTCAGAAATATGTTCTCGACACTAGATCGAAGCGAGGCATGCAGATTCATTCGGTGCCTTCGAGATGACCTTTGCTCACCGAGCTGAACGCTCTAGCATGCCGACACGAAGAAGCACTTCGCTGGACAATACAATAAGGTCCACGTCATGCGCCCGGAGGTGGTTTCCGCCATGCAAGACAATGTCGACGCATTCCTCTCTAGATGCGAAGAGAACCTAGGGCGTAGCGTCGACATCTACGTGAGTATATCCGAGCATCATAGCCGCAATCATACTGCTAGAGACTAACGGATAGCACAGGTTTTACTGCACTGCTATGCCCTCGATGGAATTACTGGTCACCTATTCTATCCACATGGGCTGCATTCTCTCTCGGATGAGCACGACCTCGCGATCATGAAGGAGCTCTCCTACTCAAGCAATCGTCCGAGTACGTTGCCATTCCAGTAACACCTACATACGTCTAACGGTTACCCATAGAGCAATATTTCACTCACTACTTCCCGCACCTCGCACGCCTCCTCAGCAAGGTGTCCAGCATCAGGAAACGGCGCACCGACGGCCTCGCCTCGCGCTACGTCCTCGACACCGCGCGCGACGCCGCCGTCGCCCCACACAGCGTGCTGCACAAGCTCCGCACACGCCAGGCCGATGACAGTGACTTCAAAGCCTCAGCTTCCGAGTGCATGGACCACCTCGCCGCGGGGATCGACACCACCGGCGACGGCCTATGCTTCCTCATGCACCAGCTCTCACTTCCTGCATCGCGCGGCGTCCAGGAGCGCCTTCGCGCAGAGCTCTTGGAGAACCCCTCGGCGGCGCTCGACGACCTGCCGTATCTCGACGCAGTGGTGAAGGAGGGCCTGCGCGTCTTCAGCCCGATCCCGATGAGCTTCCCGCGCGTCGCGCCTGCGGGCGGGAAGGTTGTCGATGGGGTGTGGATTCCGGACGGTACGATCGTAAACTGCCAGCCGCACACGCTGCACCGGCTCGACACCAACGTGTTCCCTCTGCCCGACGAGTTCCGGCCCGAGCGATGGATGCAATCCGAAGGCGCTGCCGAGAGGAATCAGTTATTCTTCGCGTTCGCTGCTGGAGGGCGCGGCTGCATCGGGAAGAAGTAAGTGGTCATTTCGTGCACATCGGGAAACGTAAATCTGACTGCGTTGGTTGGGTAGCCTTGCGCTGTTAGAGATGAAACTGCTGCTCAAGGAGGTGTACTCCACTTATCGTACGCGGGTGGCCCCCGAAATGGACGCGTCGATGGAAATGGACGATCAGACAATCTCGTCTCGACCCAGAGGCCAGAAGTGCCTGGTGGTCTTCGAGAAGGCGGAGGATGGCCCGCGGATAAGCGTCGATTGAACGTAGTTATGAGTACAAGTACATACTATAGAGAATAGAACTGCGATTATCTTCTTCACATGCGTGGTCTTGGAGGAATGATAGATTTCATGTTTTAGGCGAGATGTTATTACGGGGCAAACGAAGGAAAGCATGGGCATATGGGGTGATAGATTATGAAGAAAATACCTGGATATTTACTCGACGCGTTATTTCCAGTGCATCCGGCTTCCGCGCACAAGTCAGTGCTGGTATGACCTGAGCGGTGCCAGACTCAGGGTTCCATCTAAGACCGACCACTCGTGCGACTATTCAAAAGCTCCTCGGAAGGTCGGAAGAGCAGATCTGGATCTGGCGGCGGGGGTATGTTCAGAATCGACTGTGCAATCCATCCCTGTTTCCAGAGAAATCCGAATCGCGATGCGTGTATGCTCTCTAACTGGGCACGAGGCACTAGCGTAGGACGCTTTTCCCGCGCAAGCTCGTCACTCGCCGCACGTCCCTCCGCGAGGGTGACAGGGATGGACGGCGGTGGAGTGTCCGTAGCAGCAGCTGGCTGGTATACTGGCACGAGAGAAGTTTGCGACCGGAACGCAGAAACAGCGGCGGTCGGGAGTTCCACATTGTCATCAAGCACAACCTGCGCATCCGGCTGGGGGCGAGTACCTGGGCCAAGGGGTCCGGGATCAGGACTGGACTGGGTCCAGTCGTCGGGTTCCAACACCATGTCGGGATAGAGTGCACGCATGGGCGCCGCAGCCTCGTCCTTCACGCGCACACGAACTTTAGGGTCGACTCGCTGTCCGTCTTTCCTTCCGTGCTTCGTCAATTGGGCGGCGGAAGGGAAAGATTGGCCGCACTTGTGTGTGCTCGTCGCAGACTCGCTGGGTGCCTCGTACACAAAGCGGTAAGGGCGCTCGCTCGTGCTATGCAAGGTCTATGATGAGCGTGGGTGATTCTAAGAAGAATGCCAGCTTACTGCACGTGGATAAAATGTTTCTCAACGGACTCCCTATCGGAGCTTACGTACCCGCAGCGTTTGTAGTTGCATCTGAGCACTATGCACTCAGTCTGAGGCCCAGACGTGGCAGAACCGGGGAGCTCGAGTTTAGTCCACTGGAAGGGTTTGCGGCGCCGATCCTCGGGGTTGAACACCATGTAGGGATAGAGCTCGCGCATACGAGCCATGCCGGCCTTGATCTCGCTCTTCAGGTTACGTTCGTCAGCGTCGGTCCAGTCATTAGCGTGCGCATGCTCCCGATGAGCATGCAGCGAAGCAGCCCACCCGAAGGTGCGATTGCACCGGGATTCCTTCCCACGGTGGTCCCGCGTCATGTGCACGCATGCGAAGGGGTGCCCGGGAACACTGCAGAAAGATGGACCTAGTCAGTAGGCAGACAACTACTGACAGGGTGGCAACTAACTGCATCCCGATAAAATGGCACTCGACTGTGCGCGGGCGGTTGTTTTCATAGTCGCAGCCCTGAAAGTTGCATCTCATGGCGCTGCAACAGAAAGTCAGCTCGAGATGAATGATCAAAGAAGACACGAGCTCGTACGTGAGTTTTTTCACGGCGGACCAGGGAGGCCTGCCAGAATGAGGGACGGTGTTGAGATGCTGGACGCTCAGTGCGATCAACTTTATATGGACATCGCGCGGAAAGGGGCCCCTTTCCGCGGGGTAAGCAGTTACGCGTTTGCGCGTCAGAATCCCTAAAACCCACAATAAAAATGGCCAAAGCAAGCGTATACGTCAAGGTGTTGAAGTCAACAAAGCATACCAGATATGACGTAGGGCGAGCTGAGAAGTTTCGTTCATTCGGCTATATAGCCGGTCGATAATACGCCTGTATAGCTGAAGTAGCAGATAGCTCCTTGGACAATAATCCGGGCATACAAAAACAATAATCAATCGAGTGTCGCGCCACTATAACGACGACCGCGCTTTCGGCAGATGAGTGTATTCAAACAGGAAATTACACCTATCATAGACTTTGTAGCGTACCTCCTTTGGCAGAAATTCTAAAGGCAAGTTTGGGTAGACGCACGCCGTCCGGTCGGTGTTTGGACAACAACTGATTATCTGCGAGTATTACATCGCAACTCAGCTACAACAGGTCAAAGGAACCGAACATACCGCCTCTGCGTGTACAATACTGCTATCAGGGTTGCTTACGCGACCAGTGCACCGGTCCTCCCCGCCGCCACCTTATGCCTTGGGTACGACAACACCGTCGTCGTCGAAGATGTCGAACGAGAGACCCCAGCCCTTCGAAGGGTTCACGACACGCTTCGGCGGGTGCGCGGCAGCAGCAGCCTCGAGCTTGTTGAAGAGGTCCTCCGGCAGCTTGACCACTATCACACAGTCAGATACGGCTTTTTTACAATGTAAACACGTCTGAAAGGCTTACCGTTGAGGTTCTCGACCACGCGCGACGGGGTGACGCTCTTCGGCAGAACCACAGTCTGTCCGGCAGGGAACGTGAGTATATGCGGCCTACGATGCGATGAGGGCTCCTTACACCGCGCTGGACGTGCCACGAGATGATGGCCTGCGCGGGCGTGATGCCGAGCTCCTTCGCGATAGCCTGGACCTCCGGGACGTTCAGGGTCTCCTTCACCTGGTTGTTGCTACCGAGGGGCGAGTAGGCCTCGAGGACCAGATCATTCTCCTTCGCCCACTGAGAGTGAAATGTCAGCGCTGAGGAATGGTGTAAGACGCTACACACGAGTGTGATATGCGTACCTTGACGAGCTCAGGCTGAGGGTTCCAGAAGTTGAGTTCAACCTGGTTGACGGCGGGCTTGTACTTGAGCGGGTTCGCGGTCAGGTTGCGCAGTCTGCGACAGACGTCAGATGACTGCATGTATGCGCTAAGCACGAGGTCCTAACCTAGCAATATTGAAGCTGTAGAGGCTATAAGCGTCATGTTCGACTAGTGGAGTGGGACCGGGGTACGTACTTGCTAACACCGATGTTGCGGACCTTGCCCTTGTCGACGAGCTCCTCGAGCTTCTTCCACGTCGGGTACGGGTTCGCAGTCAGCGCCTCGTCGAGCACGTTGTCCGTGCCCTTCTTGAATGCGATGGGCCTATGTCGTGAAACCTTCAGTCGAGCAGAGACGAGGTCATGGGATAGCATTTACCAGTGGATAAGGTACAAATCGAGATATTCCGTTCCCAGTGCCTGCAGCGATATGTCGAGGGCAGCCTCCACATCTTCGGGCGCGTGGAAGCTGTTCCAAAGCTACATGTATGCGGGATTGATCAATACGAATGGAGAGCGCCATTTCGCACGACCTGTTTCCTGACGTACCTTGGAAGTGAGCCAAACTTGGTCGCGAGGCACGCCGCTGTCTCGCAGCGCTTGGCCGACTTCTGCCTCATTCTAAGTGACTGTCAGCGCGCCGTTCAGCGGTAGTTGTTGCTTCCCTGCTTACTCTGTACACCCAAGCGCCATCGATGTGTTTGTACCCGGCCTTCAGGGCGGTCTTCACAGCGTCTCCGACCTGGTCCTTCTCAGCCTTCCAAACGCCTGTAGTTCATTTGCCCCTGAGTCAGATACACGTCTTCCAGTCATCCTGCTATACTCACCGAGCGCGACGGAAGGGATCTTGTGCCCCGAAGGCAGCGTGTAGTGGCTCGGGAGCGACGAGAGGTTACGGTGCACGGCATGGCATGGCTTTCCCATCCGCATCTTGGAAGAGCGGGAGATCGCCCGCACACCGAGGAAGGAGACGTACATGACTGCTGCTACAGCAAGGATGTGGAACAGGAGGCGCTTGTGGCGGTTTTGGACGCGAGGGGCGACGCCGAACTGCTGTTCTTCGTCACCGTCGTCCTGGGAGAGTGGTTTGTAGTGCGGTGAGGGCATGGCGGGCTCCCCGAATGAATGGTCGGGGGATGATGATGACCTTGGGAAAGTCGGTTGTCGCAGGGCAGCCACCGCTTGCGCTCGGCCTGCGCCAGTTGTCGTCATCGCGGCAAGATTAGATAGGCTATAAGTCGGGGCCCGGGCCGCCTTCGAACATAGACCCAGAGTTTTGGATATGCTGAATAGCTGGTGTGTACTGCATACCGGAGCACATAATTGATCTGCGTGAGGAGACGGGAGGATGTTGAGCTCGTCGACAGCGAGAGAGAAAGCGGAGTGAGTGAGCGACACCGTTCCTGCCAGTGCTTTATGGTACCGCGAATGAACTTTAACGCCAGCGATATTGATTGCCACGTGGCTGTGCGGTCTGCCTCAGCCTTGGCCTGAGTCTCTCTCATCGCCTCCAACTACCCTCTCACTCGTGCGGCGCGGTCGAAAAAGTGGGCTCATACTATGGTGATGGATATGGGTTATATCTGTGCTGTTTACTGCATAACAACGTGCGAGCTTTTGCTTCCAAGCAAGTCACTTATGTCCAAACTGCCGTGGGAAACGCTGCGCGGTGGCCCAGCCGCCAGTTGATTGGCTCAGGTATCAGCGCCGCGCATTGCTTTCTTGACCTATTCCTGTAGGTGGTCTCAACTGGTTTATAAAGAGGCAAAAATAACCAATGTGAATACAGATACTTGGCCCAGTTCTTGTAGAATGGAACGACCGGCGTCCGAGGCGCCAGTGCAACACGCCGCTTCGCCCAAGGCTCTCACAACAGAATCAGCTGCGTACGTATGCGCATTGGGTAAAGCGTCGTCAAAAGTGGGATCGTTGTGCTAACATATTGTGTGCAGCTTGACCCTCGAGGCTACCCCATACCAGCCTCCCATGATAGACGTCGACGTCTTCCGCCTCATTCTGGCATGCCTCCCATACGACGATCTGCTGAAGATAACGCTCGCCTCCCACTTTGCACGAGAAGAAGGCATCAGAGAGCTTTTCATGAGGCCTGTGCGGTTGTGCTGGAACAAGAACCTATCCACATTCTGTCAGTTCGCACTCGCCGGAGATCCCAAGAGACTGTCTTACCTGCGGAACCTCACTATCGAACACATCAAAAAGCCATGCGAGGATAGAGAGAAATTCGCCCAGGTCCTCGCCCACTGCACCAACCTCAAGAAACTCACCCTTCAATGGTGCGACGGGCTCATAATGGACGAACCCGCTGTACCCGACGCGATCTCCGCGCTTCCGAACCTCGCCCATTTTTCCGCTATCATGTATAAAGATAGCAAAGAATCTCAGGCGGTCCTCCTCCGCATAGTCGCGAACATGAAGTCCTCCCTTCGCGGTCTCAACCTTCCTATGGTCGAGGATGGTCTTTCGAAGGTCGAAGTACTACAAGACCTCGCTAGGGTCCACGGCAGCCTGGAGGAGTTCACGCTGCAATTCACGACCTTTACCGCCCCTGGCGTGACCTTTCTGGCCGCCCGCAATCTACACCTCACTCTCGAGGAGAACGTTCCTCGGCTCCGTGATTTCCGCGGCACCTTCCCGAGCGTGCGCGAGCTGTCCGTCGACTACCACATGCACCTGGGCGAGACGCCTCCGGATAACACAGGAACTGGAACCAACGATGACAGGAGCTGCTGGCCCTCGCTCGACCGGCTGCGTGCGTCCGTGTTGATTATCCGCGCCCTCGGCATCATATGCGCCGTGCGCCGCTTGGACCTAGGGTACTACGACTCCGACCTGCACGACAAGACGGCGGAGATCGTCTCGCGCCTCCGCCCCTCGAAGCTCACCCTCAACCTCTACTGCGCCCCAGACTGGGCCACCCCCCGCGCGCACCCAAGCCTCCTGCTGCACGGCTCCGGGGACACGGGTGTCAAGCACCTATACGTTAAGACGACGTTTTCGCGCACGCATGCTCCCGCAACGCAGGATTTCATAGTGAGTGTCCGCCGCCGTTCCCATAAATTTATGCGCGGCTCTGATCGTGTGTCTTCGCATATCGACAGAATTGCATACGCCCCCTGCTGCGCAGCGCGCACGTCGAGCTCCTACACGTCGCGATATCCGAGCTCTTCACGTCCGACGACCCGGACGAGATCGTCGACCCGCCCTTGAAGGTATCCGGCGCCGACGTACCAGTCATCGACGCCGAGGCTCTCGCCGCGGACTGGGCACGGGCCTGCGCGTCAATTCGCACCGTGGCGGTCACGATCGCGCTGGTGGGGCATACGGTCTGGAGTGCCATCAGGGAAGACGGTGGGGCAGTGACCGTTGTGAAGCTTGATGCGTTTGAGGGGAGACGCGTTTTGGACCAGGAAGCAAAGCGCTGTCTCGAGGGTTGACGTGCTTTGGGCGCCGGGTATTGGTAAGGGTAAAATGCGATGACGGGCTCTCGATATGAGATATTCATTGGTCATGGTCGTGCAGCTCCCGATGGCCAACCCCACGAACCCGCTCGCGGACTCGGACGGCATCATGCATTTTGTAACACAGGAGCATAATCTCGAGACTGTTGGACTTCGGGTTCCTCATCGAAAGCATGTCGCAGGGGACCAGCAGGGGCCTCAGTGTAGTCGATCACTTCTGACGTACTCCAGAGCCGCTGTGCTGCCTCATTATCATGTAAAATATGGCATATACCAGAAGACAAGTGTCGAAGAATGTGATTATATTCCAGGGGAGCATACGGTAATATATTAGGGAGCATACATTGAATCATTCGAACCTTGACTGAAGAAACCAGATGAAGGAAGATATGTTGGACGTGTTACTGTGAATGCGCGTGGCATGCTCGCACGAGCGACGTCAATGGTGGGCGGGACAACCAGGACCGCGAAGGCGGCGAGACAGGCAAATCCTCCAACGAGGGTGAGAGACGCGGATGTGGCAATGGACGTGTGTGCTGAGCCGACTGTGCGTTGTTTCCCGGGAGGGTTAGGCCGTGCAGTTCAAGACGAGCGCTTTCCGGCTCCGTGAATGGTGCTAGTGCTAGGGCACCTGTGCCTTCCCTCCCGAGAGGATCCTGCGCGGGCGTTGTGATCCTCGTCCACCCGAAGACCTAGAGGCGGTGGAGCATTGCTTGCTCCATTTTGGTGGGACACGGGGTGGTGGTGCGACGGCGACACGGCCACGGGTCCGTGTGGGATGGTAGCGTCGGGGTAACGCGCAGGTTTGGTGTGCTGGGATGCGTGCCGGTAAGAGGCGCTCCCATGTCGAACGGGGTGGTTGTCATGCCCGTGCCCCAGGAGGACTCCGGACGACTGAGAACGCGTTCTTTCGGGTTCGGCGAGAGAAACTTGGGTGTGCCTCAGGCTCTTCTCCCGAACGGGATCTTCGCCGTGAGCTCCGCCCTCCTTCGAGCCCGTAGTGGTGCAAAGGAGAGACGATGGTTTTGAAGCGTGCTGCGCCGCAGTTGACCAAGGGCTCAACGGAGACACGGCCGCAACGGCCGCAGCAGCATTGGGGTCACGCCGGTAGAGGAGAGACGATGGTATTGAAGCTTGCTGCGCCGCGCCGGTTGACCAAGGGCTCGACAGTCCGGGAGACAGAGCCGCCGCCGCGGGCGCGTGTGCGAGTACGGGCGCGACGGTAGCGTCGATGTGACGCGTAGGCTTGGAGCGCTGCGATGCCTGTGGACTAGGCGTACCCGGAGTGAGGGGCACAAAGGCATGACTGCTGGGCACTGTGGGAAGGATCCACATTTTTTAGAGGTGTTGGGCACAGCTACGACGGAACGACCGAAAGAGGTGTTCCGAACATTTTTGGGCGGTGTCGAAAATAATTGTGCAGAACACCTCATGTGTGCATGTTTAGGTGTTCTGCACAGCTGCTCCCAACGTGTACAACACCGGGTACCACATTTTTTGCAGGTGTTTGAACGCTATTGGGCGAGGTGTTCTCAACGGCGCTCTAAGGTGTTCCGAACCGTTTATATCATCGTAGAATACAGTGCGTTCACATGTTTGTAACGCTCACGGCCGCTGTGCTGGTGCACAATATTTGCCAGTTATGAATTTATATTGCTACATATACATACGGGCCCTTTACATGCATATACAGCCTCGCAAATTGCTGGGCAGTGCTAGCACAGCGCACCCATACGAACGAACGAGCGCGCGGCGGATAGACACGAGGGCGACCAAGCACGCCGCGACCGCCGCGACCGCATGCGAGATGAGCACCACGACCGTGCGGCCGAACGCGGAGTGAGCGCGACCGTGCGTGACTGAGCACTGACTTGACGCGACCACGAGCAAAACAACCACCGCGACCGCATGCGGCATGAGGACCATGACCGCGCGCAATACGAGCGAAAGCGAACGGGAGCAGATGCAAACTACTCACCGTAGACCGCAAACGCGACTAAACACGACCCACTGCCTGTACTAGACTTCCTTGTCGCCGTCCACGGTGTCTGCGCGTTATAGGGACACTGGAGACGGGTATGAACCGCTCCTGCGCACTTACCTGTCGTTACACTATAGTTCGGGCCGGGGAGTCTAGTCAGTCACATGAAAACCGTGTACGGACAGGAAGGGCACTCACCCGCTGCCTCCTTTGCCCGCGAACGCACGGGCGACGATAAGCGCATCCATCGAGGGTGCGAGGCCACAAAAGAGTGCCCGATCCCAATGTGGTGGGTTAATTAGCGAGGGGTTCGCGAATTAGACGCGAGGGGGGCGCACCAAACATGAATAGCCTGAGGGCGAGTACCGGTGGTTGCGGCGCACGAGCCCGTGGAACTCTGCCTTACTTGCAAGCGTGCCGACGAACGTGAACTTGAGCGCGACGCTGTGCGCGCGGTCGCCGTAGAAAATCGCCTTCAGCATCTTTGCCTCGACGGTCGTCGTGTGCGCGAACATCTCCTCAAGCATCGGCCTGTAGCGCTTGAACCATGCGCGCCGCACGTACACAGCCCGCCTTGCTTGGCCTACCCGCGCGCGGTGTTGCGGGTGCGCGCGAGCAGGAGCAGCGAGCAGGCGGGGAGATATACGACAGTCATCTTCGCGATAAACGGAAAGAAGAGCTGGAGGGGGTGGTTAGAGGGGTCAGCGTTGGGATATGTGATAGACGCACATGAAGAGGAGCGGGGGGACGTATTGCGATCGCTTTGAGGCCCACCTGTGGGGACACAAAGATGTGCCGCTGTACCTGTCACAGTAGGCACTCGAGTAGCTGCGCGACGTATGGAACTCACCTGCACGCCACGCAGGTGGCACCTTTCTTGAGATACCTGAAGCTGTCGAGTAGTCGCATTCGATCGAGCGATGGGCCTACGAATTCCAGGAGGGCGAGATGCCCGAGGTTGCACTACTCGGCGGTCGAGTTTCAGGGTCGATCTGGAGGGCGGTGACGCGTACATGAGGCGACGCTGCGGCAGGCCCGCGACCCGGGATGGAGTGAGCTGCCTAGGGGATAGTTCATGGCGGATAGTGACCACAGCCTGAGTCCTGAGACTTGAGTTTCATAGTGGATAAGTACAGCACGCAGTGGGATCATCGTGGTTCGAGGTCAAGATGCAAGACGACCAAGAGGAAGAATTTTCGCTTCTCTAGCTCAAGTTACAAATGACGTCATCGCGCCCTGCTTCCTAATTTGGAAATTAAAATAGACGCCAGATTCGCCAGTCTCATTGCCACGGTCGTCGGTACCTCGAGCTCGTTCCCCATTGATCTTCCAAGCTTCCGCCCTCCATGATAGTCCCTCTGGATTCTTGCTTACCCAATTTTTCTGTCTCCATGGGACATGCTAAGCAAGGCCGCCATGCTCCTCTAGCCTATGGCAGCTGACCCGGTGCGGTACCCACGAGAATAGAGCCATACGGTACGTTGTGACACTGGCTTCACATCTGAGCGGGACGTCAGGCTGAGCTCAGGTAGGTAAGCCAGAAATCCGCTCGTGCTCTCAAATCCGAAGGCGCGCTCAATTTGGCTGATGCGCGGTGCTTGTGCATGCAAGGCTGCGACGGGTGGTGTACGCGGCACGCAAGGAGACTTCGCTTCGACAGACACATCCCTATGTCTTCCCATGGCCGGCTCGACCCCTATACGTGCCATGCACGAGGGCGGCACGACGTAGCACCATGGAATAATATGCAGGCATTATTGGTCGCGCTCCCGCCAGCCGTGTCACAGCTCCAGGTTTTGCAGGCGAGTAATCTCATTTTGGAGCTTGCGAAGGCGACAAGGAGCTATGTCGTGCGACACTCTCGCATGCAGGGCTGAGGAGGACTGCCTTTCAGCTCTTTGGGGCAGGCTGCGGCCAGCCGAAGGGGATGAATTCCATGAGGAGTGGAGTGTCGTCGCGCAATACGTCGCTGCATCGGTTCAGGTTCTGAAAAGCACGCAAACACAGGCGTACCAGGCGGGTATGTCGCAGAGCCGCCAATATTGGTTTGCATTGGAGGAGCCCGGGGAGCGCGCATAGGCGAAGGAGGAAGGCACGTTGAAGTAATTAGAAGGGTGTGTGCATGGACGCGACACTACTAGTACTGAGGGCGGCGAGAAGTTGACCTGATATTTGCCTGGACTGACACAGGTAGTGCGAAGAGCTGTTGGGCACAGCTCTTCGTGCTGGAGCTGTGGACAACACCGTTTAAAAATGAGTATATTATAGGTGTGCGGAACACCTGTTCGGACAGACGGTGAATAGAAGTGTTCCAAACACTGACTTATATTATACAATTATTAGAGGTGTGCGCCTTTTAGGTGTTCCGAACACCTATTCTGGAGGCAGAGGTGTTCTAAACACCGCATACAGGCGTCAATCCTTCCCACAGTGTGGGCTTTAGCACCATGTTAGGATAGCGCTCACGCATGCGCGCCATAACAACGGCATACGCGCTCTCGGACTCGGAATCGTCTGCACGGTGTCCAGTTATGTCGCGATGTGTGGATAAATGCTGGTAGGCGGTGTAAGAGGCACTGCAATGCCCGCTTCCTCGGTTCAAGTGGTCAAGGTCTGCGTTGTACGTGCAGATGAATGGACGCTCTGACGTGCTGCACGAGGCTGAGGGTTGGTGTGTGCACTAACTAGAGGATATAACCACTTACTGCGTGGAGATGTAATGCGCCTCAACACTCGACGTCCCTTTAGCCGTGAACGCGCACTGTGGGTAGCCACAATAGCGCACTGGTCTGTGTTCGCGTTCGATATTGGGAGGTTTGCTTTCGATATTGGGAGGTTCGCTTTCGATATTGGGAAGTTCGCGTTCGCTTTTGGGACGCTTCTTGGCAACATGGATGATCTACTAGCAATCAGAAATGCCATCGAAAAAAGACTGAGCAAGGCGTACCTGTGATTTTTTGAAATTAATAACATGCATATGTGCTTCCATGTTATACGAGCGATCTTGCGATTAGAATCTGTCGGTGGCGTTGTGAATGCGGGGACGCTGCTCGAGACCTGGAAGTTGCTGTATGCTCAGAGTCTTGAGCAGTCCTTATGTACGTGGAAGGTGAGGGGAATGGTCAAAGCAAATTGATCACCAAGCTCATACCAGGTTCCGCCATGACAATGCGCGCAAAAACCATGTCAATGCGCGTCGACCAGCCGCCGGTTCAGAGCGTGCCTCTCGAGGCTCAAAGCGTGCGCTATCCCATACATGATGGTGGACATGCAGCAGCTGTGGCCCAGCTCCCCGATGGCCGGCCCTTGCATGTGGCACGGCACTAAACCTATTAGTATCGAGTCGGTGACGCAGGCTCATTACGGCGAACTGTACATCGGTGACGGTTTGACTGCTTCCTATACCTGGGATCGGGAAAGGCCTGTTATCAGCGGCGACATGAAAGGTAGGTTACTCAAGGGCAGTCACGAGCCTCGTTGAGCGTACGAACCTCCAATCTTGATTCCTCATAAAAGCGAGGTCAAGTACAAGTATTTGTCCAGCTTCGAAGCCGACAGCGAAATCCTGCAGTATCCGCAGGTATCTGCGAGAAGACTGTCAGTACGGGAGTGATTCGCAAGAAGAGACGCAATATTAGTAAATGGGTGTCGCTCATTCCTATGAAATTTTAACATGTTGGGACGGACATCGTGCCAGAGATCAAACCCAGAGTAGGACATCGAGCTTCGGCGTGTTCGCTGAGAGCGCGTCGCAGGGAACCAGCAGGGGCTCCGATGTGGTTGAACGCCCGGTGTGACCTGCTCCGAGGGTGAACAAGGAATATCATATTTCAGGGGGCATAGGATGACATACGGAAGCATAGGCTACATGGAAAAAACTTTAGACCCCGAGTCAGTTGAGACCCAGAATATCAGGACATCTGTCGGACGTGTCACTTCGAGTGCGCGTGGCGTGTGGGCGCGAGCGGTGTCGGAGATGGAAGGACTGCATAGGACCGCAAGGGCGGCAACTTGCCGCCTGCAAGCGAAGACTCCAATAAGGGCGGTAGATGCAGATATGGCGATGGGAGCGCGTTCCAAGCCGATCGTGCGTCATGCGCTGGAAGGTCTGTGCCGTACCGTTCGTAACGAGCTCTTTCCAACTCAGCGAGGGGCACTAGTGTTGGCCTATCTTCCTGAGCGGATCCTGCGTAGGCTCCGTCATCCACATTCATCGCAAGGCAGGGCGACGTTGGAGCATGCGTGGCTTGCGTCGGCCAGGACACGGGATAAGGATGCGACGGCGACACGGGCGCGGACGCGGGCGCAACGGTAGCGCCGGGGTGAGGGGCAGGGTCGAAGCCTGAGCGCTGTGGTGCCTGCGAGCGGGGCGCGCCCGGTCCGCTGGGCACGTAAACGTGCCAGCGGCGGCGTTGGGGCCCCAGCACCATGTTGGGATAGCGTTTGCGCATAGCTGCCATGACATTTGTATACACGCCTGCGGAATCTTTCGCCCCGTGTCCGGTTGTTCTGCGATGCTTCAGCAAATGTGCGTAGGCAGAGTAATCGGAGCCGCACTGCGTGCTTCCCTCGCCATCGAGGCGCGGCACATCGTACGTGCAGATGAATGGGTACTCGGGCGTGCTGTGCGAGATCAAGGATTAGCATGTGTACGAACCCGAGTGAAGCCCACGTACTGCTTGGAGATGTAGTGTGCCTCAACACCTGATATCAGTAGAGCCGTGAACTCGCAGTGTGGGTAGCCGCATTGGCGCCGTCTGCGCCTGTGTAAGATAGGTGTAAGAGCGGACTCCTTATAATGGCAGAACTAGTGGCTTACTTTTTAGACTTGATGGGAATCTAGTCAGCCTAACATCAGAAATGCCAGCAAACAAAGATGCAATAAAGCGTACCTGTGGCTCAAGCTGAACCATACCGTTACGTCCTTCCATGTTACTTGCGCAACCTTGCGGAACTGTCGGTCACGGCGCTGCTGCAGGATCGTTGGAGCTCTTTAGGTTGCTGCATGTTGGACCACTCGAGTGGACCTTATATATGTGAGAGGCGAGAGGAGCGGTCAAAGCAAACTCATCACCGAGACCATACCTGGTTCCGCGTTGGCAGACACTGTGGCAATGCGCGTGGACCACCTGCCAATCTGGACAATGCGTCTCAATGCTCAAAGCGTGCGCTATGCCGACCATTGTGGGCCGATGCAATAGGTGTTGTGGTACAGCTACCCGGTCGCTTGGATGTGCCACTGCACTAACAAACCAAGCACCCAGTTGGCATACTCGCTACGGCAAGCCGTATCTCAGTGACAATCTGCTTGTTCCCTATACCTAAGAAGAAATGCGACTCGTCAGCGGCGAGGTCATGCACAGTGATTGGAGATGGTACATACCAACTTGACTTGAAGGGCCGACGCGAGCCTCGTCAACGTTGAGGGCCTCAGACAGCGCGTGGCGTGGGCGTCAGTGCTCATGTGGCACTCGGGCGGGATATGCCGAGGGTATTTAGCGCCCGTAGCCTTCTTGTCCGAATTCACTACCCTCTACCACCCTTCGTGCTCCTTCGTGCTGCTAAACCTGTCTAACTCGATTTTATGTCGGCCAACACCCTTTCATGGCCTTCAACTCGCGGTAAGAATAATTGGGCTCGTACTGCAAGCTGCTCGACGCCGTGGTGCTGGCCAGAGCTCATCCTGGTTGGCATTTTGTTGAGGCTATCGTCATGAGAATCTACGCGCAGGCAACCTAGGTCCACCTTGCTCTGGCATACCTCCCTCACGCGGACCTGCTCAAGATGACGCTCATTTCGTATCTCCCACAAGAGGAAGCCACGAATGAGCTACTCGTGCGACCCTTGCGGTTACCGTGGAGCCAGAATCTGCGTGGATTCCGCCACTTCGCGCTCGTCGGGGACCGCAACAGACTGTCTGATTCGCTAAAGCTCACTATGGAGCACATCCAAAAGCCATTCTCTTTGGAGGATCAAGCGGCGGTCACCTAGGTTCTCGCTTACTGAACAAACCTCAGAAAACTAGACCTACGATGGTGCGATGTGTTTACAATGTAAGACTCAATGATCCCCGAGGTCATTTCTGCGCTCTCAAACCTGACCTATCTTGCCGCACGCATGTACAGAGACGGTAATGAAGCACAGGATGTTTTCTTAGGATAGCACTGGACACGAAGGCCTCCACAGCCTTCCCCTCCCTATGAACGGGGACGGTCCTTCGAACCCATGATCCTGCAAGACCTCGCTGGGGCCCACGGCGGCTTGGAAGACTTCACGTTGCATTGTTCCACGTTCATCGCCCCAGGCGCAACGTTTCCCGCCATTCGCATCCTGTATTTCGTGTTCGAACAGAGCCTTCCCCAACTTCGCGACCTCTACAGCATATCCCCAAGCATGCGCGAGCTGTCAGTTGAGTACCACATGAATCCAATCAAACGGATTCCGCCAGATACTGATCATTAGATTCAGCGACGATGAACTGACTTGGACGCAGGGGGCTGATGGCGTTTGCTCGACCTGCTGCGGGCATCCGCGCGAATCGTACATGCCCTCGGCATCGTATTCCCCGTTCGTCACTTGGACCTGGGGTTCTACGACTCGAACCTGCACGAGCGGATCCCTATTCTGCGCCCCAGACGGGCGGATTCTGCGCGCGCACCTGCTGTTGCGCGGCACCGGGGACGCAGGCGTCAAGCATCTATCCGTGAAGACGCTGTTCTCACCCATACGTAGTCCTGTCACGCAAGAATTCATGGTGAGCACCCGCGGCCGTCCTTCTAGCGCGATGCGTGTTCCTAATTCATGTTAGTAGAACTTCATGTGCCACCTGCCGCGCACCGCGCACGTCGAGCTGCTGCATGTAGCTATATCGCGGTTCTTTGCATGCGACGACCCGGGCGAGATGGTCGACCCGCCCATCGTCTCAAATTCAAACCGATGCCTATGCACAGACCATCGAGGCTTTAGCAGGGAACTGGGTGTAGGCCTGCGCGTCGATCCGCACCGTTGCGGTCACGGCCGCCCTCGTGGGGCATACTGTGTGGCGTATCATCAGGGAAGATGAGGAGGTGAGTGTCGTGGCCCTTGGCGCATTTGTGGGGAGCCTTGGTGTGATCGAGTGTCTGTGAGCCTGCTCCGACTCAAAAGTCGATCGCGACATGGTGCCTCAGACTACTATGTAGAATACTGGAAGACGAGGCTCGAGACAGGATATCATATTTTAGGGGCATAGGTTAACATACGAAAGCATACGTGATATTCCGAAGCAGGACGTCCCCGTGGGAAGCGCTGCGCGGGAGCGCCGTTACTAGTACCTGATGCATGATGACTGACTCCTCACGTACCACCACTGAGTGCTGATCCCGTCCCCCTGATCTGTGAGTAGCGTCATCTGGTACTTCAAGAGATATTGATCACCATCGTGAAGACAGATACGTAGTATCCCACACCCTGCGAAATTGGACGAGGTACCGGCGTCCACGATGCAACAGGCTTCGCTGCTCGATGCTCTCGAAACAGAACGCGCACCGTACGTGCGCACTGAGTGCATCCTTGTCGACCTGAGCACAAGCGGAGCTGTTGCGCTAACATATTCTGGCAGGTTACATATTGAGGCTTGCCCGTACCACTCCTTCAAGGTCAATGTCGACATCTTCCGCCTGATTCTGGCGTGCGTCACTCGCGCAGACCTGCTCAAGATAACGCTCGCCTCAAAGTTTACACGGGAAGAAGCTACCAAGGAGCTTCTTATGAGGCCTGTGCGGCTGCTCCAAAACAAAAACCTACGCACATTCTGCGAATTCGTACTCGCCAGTGACCCTAGAAGACTGTCTTACCTGCGGAGCCTCACTATCGAACACGTCAAGAAGGAATTCTCTTCTCAAGAAAGGGAGATGGTTGCCCGCGTCCTCGCTCACTGCACGAACCTTAGGAAACTCAATCTTGAAGGGTGTGACGGGCTCGTGATGGACGAACCCGTTGTACTCAAGGCTATCTCCGCGCTCCCAAGCCTCGCCCATCTTTCCGCGGTCATTTACGAGGATAAGAAGGAATCGCAGGCACGCCTCCTCCAGATGGTCGCCAACATGAAATCCTCCCTTTGTGGCCTCCACCTTCCTATGACCATGGATGGTCTCTCGAACATCGAGGTGCTGCGAACTTTGGCGCGAGTCCACCGTCATCTGGAAGACCTCACACTGCACTTCCGCACCTTTATCGCCCCCGGAGTTACCTTCCCCACCGTCCGCACCCTACATCTAACTCTCGACAAGAGCGTTCCCCAGCTCCGGGACATCCGCAGCACCTTCCCCAACATACGTGAACTGTCCATCGATCTCCGCATGTACCTCAGCGCGACATCTTCGACTACCGCAGGAATCCAAAACCGGGTCAACGGGAGCTGTTGGCCTTCACTCGACCTGCTGTGCGCGATCCCGACGTCTATCCGCGCTCTCGGCATTGTGTGCCCCGTGCGCCGCGTCAGCTTGGGGTTCTCTGACATCGACCTGGATGAAGAGGATGCAGAGGCCGTCGCTCGTCTGTGCCCATCGAAACTTACCCTCGACATCAGGTGCTACCATGACTCGGTGCTTCCAGGTGCACTCCCCAGCCTGCTGTTGCACAGCTCCCGAGATGCGGGCGTGAAGCACCTATTCGTGAAGACGACGTTCGCTCGCCCACGCGGTGCTCCTCCCGCGAGGCAGGCGGACCTCTTGGTGAGTACTGCGTACAACCTACTATGACTCTGAGCCTTTGCACTCATACCGAGTCTGATGCTTTCGTCCATCAACAGAACTGGATACTCCCTCTGCTGCGCACAACGCGCGTCGAGCTTCTGCACATAGCTGTATTCAAGCATTTCGAGTCCGACTCGGACGACCCGCAGGACATTCTTGACTCGCCTGTCGGGAGGTCCCTTAGCGGACAGGAGGTAGATGCGGAGGCTGTGGCCGGAGACGTGGCACGGGCCTGCGTGTCGATTCGCACCGTAGCCATTACGACCGCGCTGTCAGGGCATACGGTGTGGAGCGTAGATAGGGCAGACGGGGAGGTGAGAATTGTGAAACTTGGCGCGTTTGAGGGGAGACGCCTTTTTGACCAGGAGGCGAAACACTGTCTTGAAGTGTAGACTACGCTGGTAAACGGGCGTTGGAGGTTTGAGAGAACTCGGAGTAGAACTCGAGCATTTGGTAAGAAAGGCACATCATGATGTATTTACGAACACTATGTGGGTTCGAAAAGGAGGATGACATTCATAGGGGCATATACGGAGACATACGGAAGCATACATGATCATATTTAGGTAGCACAAAGTCGGGAGATACGTACACATTACGGGCGGAATTGTTGAACGTGCTTCGAATGCGAGTACGCGCGACCCGCTTACGCGAGCACACGACGGTGATCCTGGAGGCAGACATCCGTCTAGAACCGAGCGGGCCTCAGCGTGAACTGTGACTGCATCTGCGCGGGTGCGGGATACGGAGGCGGCGGGGATGGCGCGTTCCGGGTATGCTGCGCGCTGTCTCCCCCTGAGAGGCCTTCGTGTCGAGGGAATTGAGTGTACTCTTGCTCATAGGGGAAGGGAGCAAACACCTGCTTTCCCTCACTGGAATAGTCAGGGCTCGAAGCGCGCTCATTCATGACAGCGTCGGGAGGGCTGAAGGGGGGTGGCGCTGCCGCTGCCGCTGCTGACAGGGAAAACGGGTATGGACGCGGCTGGAAGGCGGGGAGCGTGGTGTCAGGGTGACGCCGAGGTTTGTGTCCCCACGCTATGCGTGGCGTCGGAGTGCTCGGACCAAGGGCCCCACGATAGGGCCCGCACTGCTGATCATCCTTGGGTCCCAGTACCATGTTGGGATAGAAATCACGCATATGCGCTTTGGCCGCGGTCTGCATGCGTGTGTAGATGTCGAGGTCGTTCTCCCGCGGGTGTTTAGCCTTCTCTTGATGGCACCAGAGCTCTTTTAAGGAGGCGTATGAGCGACCGCATTGGGTTGTTGCCTCCCCCGGTGTCTGGTGCACGCAGACGTACAGGCGCTCAGTCGTGCTATGTGAGGTTTCGGTTGTATGGTTAGTGCATATATGGAATTAAACAGAGTATCAACGTACTGAACGCTCATGAAATGCTGCTTGGCGTTTGATTGAGTACCTGCATATGTGCAGTTTTCGTAGTTGCATCTGTACACCTCGCCGGGTCTGCATTCGGGTTGGGTAGGTTAGGACTGGATCCATATGGAAAGCACTAGTGACTTACAGGTGGTAAGGATCACCGGCATGCGGCTCCTCTTGGTGTCTCCACATATTGTGATTATCACTGTTGTGGAACATAACTCCTGCACTTTGAGTGGATGATCAGCCGACAGCTAATGTTTCCGTCGAAAGATGGCCGAGGAGAGCGTACCTGCTGTCTTGTTGGCGGAATAGAGCGAGTTTGAATTAGAGAGCGTTGACAGAGTTGAGAGAACGCGGGACGAGGTTGCAAGGTTGCCATCTGAAAGTCACCGGCGGCGAGCTTTATATATGTTGAAGGTGAGAGGGGTGGTCAAAGCGAGCTGATCTCCGGCATCATACGAGGTTCCGCGCTGAGAATGGACACAGACCTTGAAAGCGCGCATTGACCAGCGGTCGGGACGGGGCATGCGTCTCGAGACCGCTGAATGAACGCTTGGACGTGCCACTGCAGTGGGCCAAGCGGTAACCTCCGATTCGGAATATGCGATAGAACACGCACCTGTTAGTTTGCGAGCATATTAGTAAATGAAGATGAGAAGAGTGAGCACGCCGGCAATTCGAGCAAAGATCAACATCATAGGCGGGCGCATGCTTAAGGCGCTGCTGTAAGATCGACACGCCTCAATAAGCGCACTGGAGTTGCTAGTATATTCTGAGGCACATAGAGTGATCAAGACGGCATAAAACGACATACATGGGCATGGGGCATAGAAATTTGTACGAGGAAGATCAAAACACGTTACTTACGGTGCGCACGGCCAAGTTCTCGTGCGGGCGGGTTCAAAGTTGAGGGTCCTGATGAACTCTGAACCTGGAAGGCTGTAAGCCGCACAAAGAGAGGTCTTCAGTCTGTGAGAGAACGACTATGATTGCATAGTACTGTACCTGTAAGCCGCACAAAGAGAGGCTACAAGTACTAGTAAGTAAACATGTAAGGAAGCATAGGTAGTGTGGGACTTACTCTTCAGTCTGTGAGAGAACGACTGAAGAGCAGAGG